GGAATTTGATGAAAACCAGAATAGGCGTCCATAAAACTCATCAAGGCATGGCCGGCTGTTGAGTCGACCAGGTTATCAATTTTGGGCAGAGGGTAACTGTCTTTGGGGCACGCCTTGTTCAAGTCTGTGTAGTCTACACACATTCGCCAGGTGCCATTCGGCTTTTTAACAAGTACCACATTTGCAACCCAATCTGGGAAGTAACATTGCCGAATGAACCCTGCATCAAGTAATTTTTTGACTTCGGCGGCGGCCGCCTGACCTCTTTCTTCACCATGGTTCCGCTTCTTTTGCCGTACCGGCTTCTTTTTCGGATCCACAGCGAGTTTGTGTACTGCCAGATCAGGACTAATGCCTGGCATTTCATGGACTTCAAATGCAAAGATGTCCTTGTATTCTTTCAACAGGTTGTGAAAGTCATCACCAAGGTTTCTCAGAGCAGTCGTCCCAACTTTGACTGTTCGGTCAGGGCGGGAGTCGTCTAATATCAGGTCCGTATGCTCACCAGCCGGCTGAGGGCGGAACTCATCCGGCCGGTCCTCTGCCAATGATTGCTATTTTCTTGCCTTTCTGGCGGACTCTGTCTGGGACGCCTTTCTTTTTCTGTCGCCTGTTTCTTGAACAGGCGCACTTTCCTTGACATTGTCAAGGTCTATTTTTTCTCCACTTGACCCAGTGGCCTTAGCAGTGGGTTTGACATCCGAGAGATAGCACTCTCGGGCCATCCTCTGATCTCCCCTTAGGGAGCCGACTGTTCCATTGTCCCTTTCAAACTTAAGCAGCATAAGTGACGGGATTATAACAGCCTTGGCACTATTCAGGGTTGGGCGACCCAGAATCATGTTGTAGGCAGAGAGTTCCTCTACAACTAGGAATCGGACTACCATGTGTCGTCCTTCCCCTTTTTCGCCCAGGCGGACGGGTAGATCAACTCGTCCCAGTGGGTGGACGACTCCTCCTCCAAACCCTATTAAAGGGTGGGAGGCCGGATGTATGCAGTCCGTCTGATATTTCAGTTTTGACAGACATTTGCTGCTGATGAGATCTGAAGAGCTCCCAGTATCTATGAGGATTCGACCAACTCTCTGGTTGGCCACTTTACATTCAATAACGAGAGGGTCGTCATGCGGCCCCCTTATTCCTCCTAGATCCTCTTCAGTGATGACAATCTCAGGAAATGTATATTTGGACGGTCGTTCTTGGTGAACGGAATTTACATCTAACCGCCTTATATTATCTTTGTTGCCCCTAATAGTGGGGCCGCCTCCTGAGAAGCCGCCTGCAATGGTGTAGACGACTGCATCATCTGTATCGGAACTGTCGGCCTGTTGATTCTTTTTGGCCGACTGCTTTTTTGAGGAAGTATTCCCCGTAGATTTCTTGACATAAGTGTCAAGATCACCTTGATCAGCCAAGCGGTCTAGGTACCGCATGAGACTAATGCAGTCGTTGGTGTGATGACCAATGTCATCATGATAAGCACAGATTTTGTCTTGGTTCCGGTTGCTCGCAGAACCCTTCATGGGGAGCGGTTTCTCAATTGAGAGCCGTCCCTTTATTTCTTTTAGGATAAACTGGTTATCCTTGTTAAACACATACTTTGGGGAGTATGGTTTGAATTCCTTTTTCTTCTTGGCCGGCTGTTTAGAGGAATCAGCCGCCCAGACCCCTTTTCTTTTTTCATCTTTGTTGGACGACTGTTTCTGTCGTCCTTCTCTATTGTCGAACCTCTTCCCGTCCGACTGTTTCATTGTACACAGATCAGTCGCCTGTATATAGGCTTCTGCTTCAATCAAGGCCTCTTGAAGAGTCGCCACCCTTTTTCGAACTAAATCAAATTTGAAGGTAGACCCGTCTTTGAGACCTCTAAAAAAGTCAGTATAAGCTACCTCATCCGGTAACCCTTGAATCTGTATTCTCATCAGGTTGAACCGCCTGATGTAGGAACGAAGCCCCTCCTTTTCACCCTGCTGAATTGTTCCCAAATCAAGGGTCGTTTTCTTCGCAGGGATGTTCATTGCAAAGTTGGAGGCAAATAAGTAAGCAAGCGTCCTGAAACTGTTTACACAACCAGTCGGCAGGTTGCCGAACCATTGCTGTGCAATTCCCTTGAGAGTTGCTGGGAAACACTTGCACCAAGTGGGATCATCCAACCCTTGAAGGTACATCAGGTTGGTGAATGCCATCAGATGGTCTTCCGGGTTAGTAGTGCCATCATAGGCGCCTACTAAAACATTTTTTACTTTGGCCGGCTGAGCGGCTTCAGTAATTTCCTTGGAGAAGGCCGACGGCTGTTCACCAAGTCTAAGCAGCCGTAGCTGCCAGTCCATAGGTTGGACGTTTTTTGCTGCAGGTCCACCAAATGGAGGTGGCTGCATAAAATATTGTTGTTGCGGCACAAATGGCAAATTTGGTACCGCCTGCGCACTATGAAAGCCAGACTGACGGGAGGTGCCGCCTGACTGACTCTCATGGTACGACTGAGTTGGCCTCATCGAGGCATTTCGCAAACTGTCCTGAAAATTTGAAGTAGAAGCCGACTCTGATAATCGGTCACTCTTCTTCTGCTCTAGCAGGTGCCGAGCATCTGTGAACGTTTGCTTTGACCCATCCGCCTGAATATGACGAACCGGTTTCCTATTTCCCGTAGGATAACGGAGTTTTGTGAAATCAAGAGCAGACGGCTCCCGCTTCTTAGATTTAGGATGGGGAGTCGCCTCTCGCCCTTGAACTGGCTTCCTCTTCAGTGAAGTGGAAGGTTTTTTGGCCGCCTGCTCTTTGACTGAAGCAGGTGGTTTTTTGTTGATCAACTCTTGGATCTCTCCCTTGAATCCCCTCATGAAGATCATGAGTTCGTTCCTTGTGATGGGAGCAGACCCATCAGTCGGCTGTTGCCGAGCAAGCGGTGCGCCTGCTGGCTCGCTTCCTGTTTGAAGATACTCCCGTTCCCTTATTTCAGTATGACGGGTACGGCGGGCCCTTAGGGTCCCGTCTGGAGCTGTATGAGTTTCAACTTCAAATTCACTTTCGGTATCATGGTCCGACTGAACTTGAGGGTCGTCTAGGGGACGCCTCTCTTCTGGGGTCGGTACAGACTTGGATGCCATCTCTGAAGTACTCTCCCCACAGACGGCGCCAAATGTTTCGGGGTTTTCTGATGTCCTGCGGGAGAGTTACAATTCCGAGACTGGAACCGGACGCCTGTACCTGCAAAATAACGGAGACTCCTGAGAGCTCCGCCTCCAACGGTCAAGTTAGTACCTGATTAAGGAGTAATTAATACAGAAATTAAAGTAATAAGGTCTCTCTAGGTGAGAGTATTTAATGTAGGTAATCTGCTTTGCTAGCGAGATCAGCCGGTTATTAGTGTGTTCCGTAAATTATTCGGTCCCTTGATTAATGAGGATTAATCGAGTATTTATAGCCTTGGGAAGCGTGCAACTCTCTAGGTTTAAGGTAAACCTAGGGCCGAACGGGCTTCTAGACTGAAATGGGCCTTGATGGCCGGTTGTCCCATTTGGCATGGGTGGACACGTGGCGTGTCTTAAGTGGTCCATGGAGGACGCGTGGCGGAACCTGGTTGGTCCACCTGTCAAACGGCGCTTGGTGGATAAAAATCCCCTAATCATTATTATTATTATTATTATTATTATTATTATTATTATTATTATTACTACTACCACTATTATTGTTATTACTATTTATTATTATTATTATTACTACTACTATTATTGTTATTACTATTTATTATTATTATTGTTATTATTATTATTATTATTATCACCTCTACCTTATGGCTATATATAAGGAGTAATAAATAGAAAATCAAATAAAAATATAATATTAATTACACTGATTTGCGTGTAATTTTGTCCTGCATTTTTAAGTTAACACAGAGTACCAAATTAGGATATATATTCCCTCCATGTTCATATAAATGAACCGTTTTCCTTTTCCGTCCGTATTTAAATAAATGAAACGATTTCCTTTTTAGTAACTTCTCTCTATTTTTTGTGTCACAAAAAAATAGTAACTTCTCTCTATTTTTTAATAATATTCTACAAATTTGTGGTCCCAACAAAACCCCTTTTCATCTCTCCTCAAACTTATACTCTACTACCTTATTACTCGTATATTTTAGCAGTAACTTCAAGTATTCAACTTACCTCCATAAAACCTTGTGAAAGTCAAACATTTCATTTATTTAAACACGTAGAAAGCATTAAGGGGTCGTTTGGTTCGCACAACGGAATCGAAATGGAATGCAGAAAGGGAATGGAGGAGAAAGGAATGAAACCCTTATAATTTAGGTTTTTGTTTGGTTAGAAGGGAGGAGAATGGAATGAAACCACCATAGAACCACCACAACACAACCATTGCACCCCTTCATCAGTTTCCACCTTCTCCGGCCATCGCACTGCCCAACTAACACCACAACGGAACCGACGCAATGATTATTTGCTTCCGACGTTTCCGACGCAACCCCAAATTTACAACCACCTTGGATCCAATTCCTTCGTCCAACTAACACCACAACCTATTTACAACTAACACCACAACGAAATCGGCCACCGCACCGCCTAACTAACACTACAACCTTGGATCCAATTCCTTCGTTTCCAACGCAACCCCAGATTTACAACCACCTTTTCAAACCCAAACCCTAACTCTCGAAGACGCTCGCAAACTCATCGAACCTTTTATAGCCGACCAACTCCGCTCTCTCCTCCAAGACGTCGCCGTCCACCACCCTAAGTTCTCTTTGTGGCGCGCACACTTGTTGATTCCGACGTTATTCAGCAGAAGCTCTTTGTTCGAGGTCTTGGCCCGACTACAACCACAGGTGGGAGATGGGGCAGTGAAGGGCGGCGAGGGTCGGGGGAAGGTCGACGAGCATCCGGCGAGGTGCAACAAGTTCTTGCGAGGTAAATCCAGTTGATAGGGTATGGTGGTGGTTGGGGAATGAGAATGCAAAAGGTAGGGGGGTGGGGAATGAGTTTAGGAGATTTTTAGGTAAACCCAAAAATAAAATGGGAAAATGGGAATGACAAAAAAATAAAAATAAATACTAACAAAGGGAATCATTCTCATTCCAGCGAACCAAACGACACCTAAATATTTATCTATAACTCTGAAGGCTACGTAATGCATTATCCTTTTCAAATGAGGAATAAATCTAGAGTTAAGAAAAAAAGAAAATAAACCAAACAAAATTAGCACATAGCAGTTGATGTCCAACATGAACACCTGCCTCAACAAAGTCTTCTCTTTTCTCTGTTGTTAGTTTTGGTCAGAAATACCAAAAATGTCAGACCAATACTGGAGGTACACCGATTCAAGGCAACCGCCCGCCGTTTCATCACTCCCCGCGAAACGCCCTCGCTCCGATTACGGTACCCTTTCTTTCGTCTTCTTCTTTTTTTGTTTTTTTTTTTTTAATTTTTTTTTCAATTCTAGGGTTTTCAGTATTTCCATTATTTTTAAAGAACGAAATTTCCAGTTATTTCACTTCTCTGAGCTTAATTTCTTGAAATATGCTTGATAAAGTTGTGTTCTTTATTTTCCTTTTGTTTTATTATTTTGTTTATGTACAATTTTACACGATTTGGTGTTTTAGGGTTTTAGTTTAACAACCAAAACCCTTTTTAACCTTCCTTTCTTTCCCCTGTTTCTATTAGGTTTTAATTTAGCTCCATTGATACATATTATTTGGGTATATGCAGTTTTGTGGTTATGTTTTAACGATTCTTTAATTTAGTCTTTAAAGAAGTTGTTTTTATTGTTCAAATTAATTGGTAGGTAGTGAATTTAATTTAGAGCTCCAATAGAGATTAAATTAAGACTGATAGTGTCCATATTGACTTAAAGTGTCTACCTCTGCTGCCAAATTGTAAAATCTTTGATTGTTGAGGCGGGCGACTTTTCAAGAAATACAAAGATAAATTATGGAATGATAATATTCTCTTTATATATACAGCTTAATAGTTTTCTGATCGAGTAAAGTACAGATGAATCTGTAAAAGCTATGAAATTTAAACTCGCTTACTGCTTGTAATGGATTCATTGTATAGCTTATTGAAGAAATTGTTATACGCCTACAATATGCAAGTAAAGGGTTTTTGGATGGCCTGGGACTGGGTGTGGAGGAAATTCAAGAATTTGCTCTAATTTCTGTTCAGTCATTGCTCACCTTTGATATTTTAAATCCTTAATTGCCATTCATTATTCATTAAACACAGTAAAAAGTTGTGGTCTACTTATAAAATGATAATTGTTAATTTGCTATACGACTTCGTGCTTCATTATTGAAAGTTGTATACTTCACCTTTTTCTTTATAGAATTATAGGTTCCAGCTATGGTCTCTGTTTAGCTTTGCATATACTTATTACTAATAACTTGGATAGGTATGTTGCTCATGTTATGCTACTCCAGTGTTAACACACATGCATGCGTTTGGATAACTTCTTATCCCAACCCCACTATTTTATTGTTGATTTCTTAGGTAATGTATAATTTATAATATGCTGAAACGTTAGCATTTTTGTAGATGTTCCATCTGGACGGGATGTAGCTGGTTATTACTCTCGTGATGATGACAGGCTAGCTCACCGTGCAATTAGAGATACTGAGTCCATAAACCAATCTTATGATCGTTACCTGAGAAGCACAGTAATATTTCTGAATTTTACTACGCATGTGTTTTGGCCTTGGTCTGTAATTTGGTCTGTCTTTGACATTAAAATACATTATATTGTTCAGCAACTTTATCCTGGGGCAGATTCAGGAAGATTACCTAGCTCTGGCATATCTAGTCATGCTGTTGATGATCCTCGACTTGGAAACGATCCTCGACATGGAAACGATCCTCGATTAGGAAATGATCCTCGCATGTCTGGTGACCCACGTATGGTAAGTGATCCACGTATGGTAACTGATCCACGAATCAATAGCGACCCTCGAATGACAGGTATTGGAATTATGGACCCTGCGATGTCCCTGAAGGGGCGGGGCTCCAATCTTGGATCTGGAAGGTCTGAGGTTTCCCTTCCACCTGATGCTAGCAGTACTCTCTATGTAGAGGGCTTGCCTGCAAACTGTACGCGCAGGGAAGTGGCTCGTATCCTTTATCATTGCAAATTTTATTTAATAAAATAATTATTCTCTGCACTTTTCATACTTGCCATCCATTTCTGGTTTTCTGTCCCTCCCCTCTCGGAACTTCTTGTTTCCTTCACTTCTTTTGTCAGACATCTTTCGTCCCTTTGTGGGCTACAAGGAGGTCAGGCTTGTGACCAAGGAAGCAAGACATGTATGTCTATTATCTACTGCTCCCTTTGTATAGCATTTTTTTCATGGATCAGTACTCATGTGTAGTTTTTCTTGTAGTCTGGGGGAGATCCACTTGTGCTGTGTTTTGTTGACTTTTTGAGTCCCGCACATGCTGCAACAGCGTTGGATGCCTTACAAGGTGAGTTTGTTGGGGGTTTTCTTTTTCCCTGTATAACAACTTTGTACATCAACATATTCTCTTTTTATCTATGTGATCTATTATGCGTTTATTACTTTTATGAACCTAGTGTGGAAATGCAATATATGAGCTTCAAAAGGTCAATGATCATAACTGAGTGCTTTTGCATTTGTTTATCGCTTGACAAATTCTCTCTTCTGGCCTTCTGGGTTGCTAGTTCTATAAGTGATTTGTCAGAGATAAAAATGCTGGAAATGGGCTTAAGATATCCTTGATGTATATGAATCCTAGCCTCGTTGTCTATGCTCAGTAGTAACCTAATATTTGAATTTACGATTCCCTCACGTTAGTTCTGTTATTTTTATCATTGGAGACGAGGATCCATAATTTATGTTTTTTTTTTATTATATATATATATATATATATATATATATATATATATATTCCCTGTGATCGAACTACCCAAAAGAGTTGTTCTGAAGTCAAGATGTTTAGTCTAAAAAAGTGGAGTATTTGCAAACTATAGATCCATTTGCATAGTTCAAGGAGAATAAAGTCCTTAAACAGAAATGCAACGAGGCTTGTGGGATCTAGGATTTTTCTTAACCTGAATCTACAATTGTCTAATGGATTGTATAAGCAGATCTGTTTACCTTCCTTAATTGCGTATGCTCTAAGTGGATAATTTATATGCAAAATTAGTGTGGTATAATCTGATGGGTCCTTAAGGTTGATTTGGAGATTTGAGGTGCGACATCTGGGCAAACAATTTGACAATTTTGCTTCCGTTGACGACATGTTGTGAACTCATACCAAACCCTTGGGACTTCCTTTTTTTCCTTTTTTTTTTTACTTTTTTTTGCGAAGCTAACTTATCTTCATTCAACTATCATAGCCTTAGCATCTGATTCTTTTTTTTTTTTTTTATTAGAATAGGGATGCAGTTGTGTAACCAACTGGGAATTCAGGCTAACTAGATTTTTGAGTGTTCTTTCACTGATATCCTGTGACAAATCAATCTACTTTCGACTCTATAATAATCTTCTGGTTGAAACTCAGCTTTTTTTTTTTTTTTTTTTTTTAAATGTCAAAGAAAATGCTGAAGTGATCTGCATTTCCTAACTGTAATATCTGTAATTGTGATGATTCTCTGAAGGCATACCGTTTGTGAAACTATTTATAGACCAGTACATAGTGCTCTGATTCTGTTTGCAAATATCATGTTCATCATGGAACTGAAGGAATTCTTCAGCTTTCTACTAATAGTAGAACACGAAAGCTCTTGAAGCAGGATTTATGCAACTCTTTCTACATAGTTAATTGAACAGTCAAAGGGTCACTGGGTTTGAGGTGTGTTTTAAATTCTGAACTTTCTAAGGGACATCTGTGACTCGTTTTTGGACTAATGTGGCCATGTGGGTTTTGAACGGGGTGACCAGCATGAACCTTGAACAATTTGACACCCTCTTATCTTTCCCCTGCTAATCTTCTTAAGTTTAAGTTAAAGAGACTGTTCTTTTTTTCAAGAGTTGGGGTGAATAGGGTCAATTTTTCCCTTAGTCTAGCTCTCAAGCCTTAATTTTATGATCCTCCAATTTTAATTGGCTATATATGTAATTGTGTTTTGGCATTGAACATGTACGCAAAGCGATGGTGCGTTTGTAGTTTGTAATGGCCCCAAAATACGTGAAAACCTGGACCATAGTCTATTTTGCAGCGTGAGTAAAGTTCGATTTTGCAGGTTATAAGTTCGATGAGAATGACCGTGACACTTCTATTTTGAGGCTGCAATTCGCTCGTTATCCGGGTGCAAGGTCAGGTGGTGGCCATCGCGGCAAGCGTTGAACGGTGTGATTTTGCAGGTGATAAAAGTCTTCCATTTGATCAGGCTTAGGCACAATTCGCTCTTTAGGTTATAGCTGTAACTCGAACAATTTTCGCTGTAAATTACCAAAGGGAGTTTCTATGTAGGAATCCGCTCAAAATGGGAGGTTTGCGAAATTGAGGTTGATATGATCACCTTTGAGATCCACACACCAATTTCTGCGGCTTTTTATTTAGTACCAACTCGTGGGATTCGGGGGCTTGTAGCTAGTTTGGAGCTTGTGCCCTTTTATTAGAAACTTATGAAATGCCAGAGTGCCAGACTGTATTCGCTTTTAGTTTTAGATACTTGGAAACTTGCTACTTATGTATCTGACTGAAATACATCGTCGACATTGCCTGGTCTTGAAGTTGGTTTTCCTTGCTTATAGCAATTTCTGCAATGCTAGGGATCAATATCTATACCTGCAATGGTTTGATGAGGAGTGACTGTACAACCTCTATTCATCTGTTACTTCAGTTCTTGTAATCACTCAATGTAAAAGCGAGCCAACTGCGTTTCAATTATGTACCTTGTTTGGTGTTTTGGGCTTGGGGGGTTGATAGACTTGATGCTGTTTCTGTACCTATTTCTACTTTATTGCAAGATACTAGCATTTCTTTATCAGCAGGATGCTTTCTTTTTACTGAGTTTTTGAAAAAAGAAAACATTATTTCTCAGGCACGACTCTTGATTTTCATCATCTGCTGAAATTTTATGTTTTTTAAAATTGCTGCTGAAATTTCAGATTTTCATGACTTATCAACACTAAATTTCTCAACCAAAGTCCTATTTCAAAACTTTTCATCTTTGGAGTCTAGTATTCTTATAAATCTATCCTGATAAGAATAGATTATGCCTTTTGTCTGCAATAGAATGGGAAGATGAGTGATTAGAACTATTTTGCTATTGGAGCTATGAGACTTGGTACTGGAACTTTGTTGCCTGCTCCGCTGCTGTTACTTCTTATTTCAGCTGTGTGTGCTCAGGAATGTTGATCACAATATTTTTTTTCTTACCTAGTATGGATTATTTCAATCCCCTATAGCCCATACTGTCCGTGTTTAAGGCTGGACTTGGGGCGTTGATTACTTCAGCCATGAGCATATGGTGGTATGACTGTATTCGCTACATCTCGATCCATCCTGTAGTGACTGTCTGTCAACCTCTGGAAAACTCTTTTCACGGTGAATTCAAGTATGTTTCTCGAGGAACTTTGGATGCAATTTCTTCATTTCTTTTGACCAAGGCCATGTAATTGGGTTGGAGGAAGCATTCATCCATAAACATGATGATCTGGCATTTTGTACCTGAGTTAAGATCTTTGTTGCTTCACTTATTAAGGAGTCGCTGATAGTACAAGTGTTGAGCTCTTCATTAGGTACAAGTGAAAATGAGCTCTTCATTAGGTACAAGTGAAAATGAGCTCTTCATTAGGTACAGGTGATTATGAGCTCTTCATTAGGTACTTAGTTTAGAATTTATGCAGAGTAGTTTTGAACTTTTATCAATTGTTAACTTTAGTCAGTGTGACAGCAAGGCTGTTAGCCTATTACCATGGTTTATGATAAGTACTTGGAAGTTGGAATGTTATAATGTTCGAACCAGTCAGGCGACCTCTGTTTTAAAGAGCTCTGTCCACATCAGTGGTTCTGTACATTACTAATCCACCATTTAGTGAGTTGAGCCTTTGGCATTTTTTTTTTGGAAAGCTGCTTCATACACAGTGCTCCTCTTTATGACCGAGAACGGAATGCAGTCATGTTGAGTGTCTTGAATAGTGCGATCAGGACTTACATTAAGCTGTTCCAGCTTGTGATTTATTTGCCTGAATAGTTTGTTTCAAATTCTGTAATTTCTGAGGATATTTTGCTATAAAAGAATTGGTGTCTGCTCAAAGTTTGCGAAGTCAGAAGTGACTGTTTCTGTTGCAATCCGTTGAACTTAACTCTCTGGACAAGTATCGGGTTAGTGACCTAAACATATATTTGTGATTAAGGTTACAGTAGTTTGCTTCGATGGATATACACCATCTTATGAAATGGGTATGGAATTCTCTGATCTGATCATAATAATCTAGAATTGTTTTGTTGTGGTGTAAGCAGTTATGCTGAGCAGGTTTGTGCTCTTTCACTCGCCCTTGACTGGTGTGCTGCCTGTATTGTGTTACCTTGCAAAGGAACTATACTCTTCGTTGTTAAATACTTTGCATTAGCATATTAAATCGAGTTAAAATTACCGAATTGATGCAGCATTCCTCTCGCTAACCTCTACTCAACTATTTGCATCCAACAACAGCTGGAAAATTTTGTAATACTGCCTAATTTTTATGGCCTATATGGCTATATGTATTATTTGCCAAGTTCTTAGTTTGAGCATGCAATGTATCTTGGGCTTGTGCGTACTTCGTAAAATTTCTACTATCCACAATTCATGTAAGCATATATACTATAGTAAACGAGTATCTTCGTAATGTTTTATTGTGTTAGGTTAAGTGACAGGGAAAAAGGTAATTTGTATCATCGTCTCTTTGATTTTGAGAGCTTTAGCTTTGCGCAACACAACAATTTTCGCAAGATTTGATTACATTACATTTTCTACTATGTAGTGTTTTGTTATGTTAGGTTAAGTGACAGGGAAATGGGTAAATTGTATTGTAGTCTCATAATCATTTTCAGAGCGCAACAACTAAATCCTTGTGAAACTAGAATAAAAATCGGCAATCTATCTAAATTTTGTTTTAATTAAGAACAAATACGTTGTTGTAGAAGATGACAGCCTTATAAGATAAGGTTAGTGCTACCCTTAAGCATCCTTACGCAACCTAAGCTTTGATGACAGCCTTATACGATAAGGTGAGTGCCACCCTTAAGCATCCTTACGCAACCTAAGCTTGTTGATTAGAAAGGAGGCATGCCACTTATGATGCCAGAAGCCATTTTTCATAATTAGATATCCAAGCGGATTGGTTTCTCATTTTTTTTCTTTTTCTTGGTATGCCGCCCCGCTTGCTACCCAGTAAGGCATAGGCTAAAATTGGGCGTTTCTTTTATGTACAAGACTGTGCCTTCTTATAAATGGGAAACTTAATCTCTTTCATATGCAGATAGTTTGCAATTGCTAGATATTGCAATAGCTTTGTACTATTTGCTGCTCCAACCGTTATAAAGTTCTTCGTGTTTAAAGTATTTCTAATCAATGACATGAAGTAATCGTACTTCGATTATTACTGTGCCAACCAAGAATTGAATGCCTTCATTAAAGAACCAATTAAGAATAAAAAACGAATGCCTGACATAGTATGAAAAAATTTAGAAACTAAAATAAATATCACGCAGTTATTTATTGAATTATTGTACAAACTTATCAGAATATGTTATTGATGGCATTTAATCCAATTATTTTTTTTTGGTGTTCTACCCGTTTTACCCTTTGGGCTAATCCGAATTCGAGGATCAGTTTTAGGTGGCTAGGTTTCAGTCCCCTCCAATTGTTGTTACGGAGGATCGAACACGCGGTCCTCCCTATCAAATGTAGCCCCAATTACCACTACACCAACAGGCAACAACCAATTGATGCCTTTAAATCTTTAATCCAATTAATGCATTCTTCTTTGGACATATATTGCTAGTGGCCAGCTTGCACTATATTTTTAAGTCAAGGATTATAGGGTTTGGGGTTTTTTGGGATGTATAAGAGTTTTAAAAGGATGGGGATTGGGGAATGGATAAGTACGGGTTAGTACGAACTACGAAGTATATACTCCATACTAAAATATTTTGTACATACGGAGGATGACAACGTTTCACGTGATTTGGTATTACGTAGTATTAAATGATTTTTTTTTTTTGTTATCAGCTTCTTGTTTATGATCATTAGGGGCTTTAGGGCTATGTTTAAAAATCATATAGTTGAACTGTCTCATTTTGTTATACTCGCATGGTAGTTGTGGATGATAAGAAAATAGTTTTGCTCAGTCTCTTTTTTCTTCCATTTTACGCAATTGTTATTTGTCTTAATCAATTGATATATCATTTACAAGATTAAATTGCTATTCGCTCTCACCGGCTGCCTCTAAATAACTGGAGGCCATCATAGCGTACTGTAAGTAACATTTAGTTGATGTGTACGTTGTCTTTCAATATAATGCTTATATACACCTCTTAAAACTATACGGAGTACATAACAAACCCTTATAGAGGGCAAGTCACAATACACGGAATAATCCAACTTGTTTCTAGTTGAAAGTTGAGGAATGCTCGCATTTCAAAGCACATATGCTCAGAAAACGATGCCTATTGACGAGCCGGGTCACATGTTTTAGAGACTGGTCACGGATTGCCTTATTGTACTGTTATTGTACTTGTATTCTTGTTGTAGTGGGTTACACTACGCGTTTAATCGTATATTTATAGCAAGAAAGTGACAAGCTTTTAGACATCATACAGTACTAAATTTTCACATTATTCTTTGCCCTTAATTGCCATGTTTTTGTGGAAAGACCTTTTCCACCTCCAAACTTTTGAATTTTTGATGGGTGTGTTTGATACAATTTAAGATCGGTTGTGTGATTAACTTTGACATTAACAAGAATTGATTATTAATCTAATCATGAATGACAATAACGAGTATCTGTTGGTATTTGATAATGAGGCGGTCTTGTATTTTTCACCTTAAAATACTAATATTTGGCAAAAATGAATTTAGTTAAGTAAAAATAATTTTAATTTAGTAAAAATAAATCGAGTTTAGCAAAAAATATCCCAAAAGAAATTTTTTTAATTTTAACAGTAAAAATTAGTAACTTTAAAGAACAAATATAATTTGAAAAATATTTTTCAGTTTAGTAAAATTATATAACTTTAGGAAAAATAAGTTATTTTTTGTAAAAATAATTTCACTTCAACAAAAATAAAGGGAAGAGACAAAACCTTACACAAATTTTTTGTTCTCTTCCCGTTGTTTTTGTTGAGATAATTTTTTTTTTACTCAATTAAATTATTTTACTAATTAAAGCTTATTTTAACTGATTTTTTTATTGATTTGTTTTAAAATTTATTTATTTTTACCAAATTAAAATTTATTCTTACCAAATCGAAATCATTTTTTCCCTAAAAATCGTTTATCTAGTGATATTTTTGTAAATAAATCATTAAATAAATCTCAGTCAGCATGTCATTTTCGTAAATAAGTCAACAATTGTAGGGTCCATAATATGTAATAAAAAAAATAATTAATTTATTTACGAAAATGCCACTAAATAAATTGTTTGTTATGATAAGTGAACTTTATTATACAGTACAAAATATTTTGTGAATCTTTATTATTGGAGAATGGAGACTTTAATTTTATTTTTTTCCTAATTAAAAAATCATTTTTTTAAAAAAATTGTTACAAGACTTACAACCTGTAAATATGAGCTATTTTGTTATTGCTTGGTTAAAGTATTACAGCTATACGCCTATACTAGTGCAACAATTATGACAGGAAATCTTCTAAAAATGGTTTTATATATCCATGATTTTTTTCCATCCTACTCCTAACCAAGTAGCCATCCAAATTTAAATGCCATTATCATACAATTAACTATGGAAACAATCTTTTTGATTTCTAATGATTTTTTACCTTAACTAGTTAACTCTATCCAAACCCCCCATAAATATAATTAACAAGGAAAAAAATTAAAAATAAAATAAAAATATCCCATCAAAAAAGATTTTTATTTATTTTTTACAGCTAATATTTAAACATATCTCCAAGAATTTCGTGAGAATTAGGTTATATTATAAACCTTCAACTACCCACCTCCAATATCCTTCCAATAATTTCTTTAAAAAAAAAAAACCTTCCAATAATGATAAAATAATATAATTTTATCTTAAGTCCAATTAGTATACATTTCTGATTCGAAGAATCTCTCGTTAATCCCACCAAAACTAGGAATCTTACCTTTATAACCCTATAAGTTAAACAGAATCTTCATTGTTTTGGTACCATGCATCAAATATTTTTGTAACTTTGTTACACAGAATTTAGAATTACATATTACATCCATATTCATAATAATAATAATAATATGGGTGGTTTAGGGGAAGAAATTGTTCCAGAATCAATGGATTCAACAATGAAAAAAGGCGATACGGATGAAGAATGTTCAATACCACAAGTAAATTTAACCGTGCCAAAAACAGATGATCCAAACATGCCTGTTTTAACGTTTAGAATGTGGGTTCTTGGTTTAGGTGCATGTATTTTGTTGTCATTTGTTAATCAATTCATGTGGTATAGACAAAATCCCATGATTATTACGTCGATTTCGGCCCAGATTGCTGTTGTTCCTCTAGGACATCTTATGGCCAAGACAATCACAAAGAGGGTGTTCTTTCAAGGTACTAGGTTGCAGTTTACGTTGAACCCTGGTCCTTTTAATATTAAAGAACATGTTTTGATCACTATTTTCGCTAATTCCGGTGCCGGAAGTGTTTACGCCACCCATATATTGAGTGCTGTTAAGCTTTTTTATAAGAGGAAGCTCACCCTTCTTCCTGCTGTTCTTGTTATGCTCACCACCCAGGTTAATAAATCTCCTTTAAGTTTTCGTTCGTGTTATTTTATTTGATTGTTTTTAATTTGTTTGGTTCTTTCAGGACGAGTTTAGATTCAGATGTATGTATCAGAATAACTTTAGATTAAATTAATTAAAAGTCTGAAAGGGATTTGGATTCTCTTGTTTTAATGTCAAGGCTTAGGAGGGTTTGGGGAATAATACATTTATTTATTTATTTGTTATTAATCTTTTCCTCGGAGTAAATTCATTAATCGGAGAAAATTTTAGTTTGAATTTCTTGTTTAAGGCCCAGATTTTATGCATTTTTTGTAAATGATAGGATCAATACCCTCATTGTTATTTCAAGCTTTTTTTTGTTTGTAATTTTTATGTTTATGGTGCAGTTATAAGAAATTGTTAATTTTCAAGCACTAAATTGAGTTACTTGGTGCAATGTGTAGCTATTGGGTTTTGGATGGGCTGGTCTATTCCGGAAGTATCTCGTCGAGCCAGCAGAGATGTGGTGGCCTGCTAATCTGGTTCAAGTCTCAATATTTAGGTGAAACTTCTGATATTGGCTGGTTTGTTTTTAGAATTGGAAAAAGATGTAAATGTGGTTTAATCAGTACAAATGTATTTTCTTCTTTGAGGCTTTTGATGAATTGTTGGAAATTTTCGATTGTCATGGCAGGGCTCTACATGAGAAGGAACCAAGGGCGAAAGGAGGCATATCCAGAACACAGGCCTTCCTCATTATTCTAAGTTGTGCTGCTGCTTATTGTGTCCTACCCACTTACCTGTTCATTATGACCACTAGTTTTTCTTGGCTGTGTTGGTTTGCTCCTAAATCTGTTTTAGTCAATCAGTTGGGTTCGGGAACTCAGGCCCTTGGAATTGGCTCTTTTGCTATAGATTGGACTACGATTTCCTCGTACCTAGGAAGTCCTCTGGCTAGCCCTTGGTTTGCTACTGCTAATGTAGCTGCGGGATTTATTATCATAATGTATGCGATAATACCATTTTGTTATTGGTTTGACGTGCTCAAGGCAAAGAACTTCCCTATATTTTCTCAAAGTCTTTTCATGGTTAATGGAACCAAGTATGATATCAAAAGCATCGTTTCCCCACATTTTACATTGGATAAGGCTGCGTATGCCACAAATGGTCCTCTATATCTTAGCACTTTCTTTGCTGTGACGTATGGCCTTGGGTTTGCCGCACTTTCTGCAACCATTGTCCATGTCCTAATCTTCAATGGAAGGTATGATTGAATTATATTGTACAACGTTTTTCATTGGTGATTTTAGTACTGTTTTTGGGTATTGCTAGCCTTTTGTTATAGTTTATCTTTCACTTGACGCTCTGCTGATCATACAGAGAGATATGGGAACAAGTCAAGGGAGCTTTCGGAGCATCAAAGAAAGTGGATATACACACGAAGCTGATGAAGGTCTATGGACAAGTACCAAATTGGTGGTTTCATGTCCTTTTAGTGCTTAACCTTGCTTTGACCCTGTTTACTTGCGAATACTACAAGGAGTCACTCCAATTGCCATGGTGGGGTGTCTTACTCGCTTCTGCGCTTGCTTTCTTCTTCACCCTCCCTGTAGGCATCATTCAAGCCACTACAAATCAGGTACATTGACTTGTTAACTCTTTCTTTACCTTCAAAAATGTAGCATGATCATTGCAACTATCTGCTCTAAACTCTTAACGTTCTCTGTTGTTCTTTTAACATAACAGCAACCAGGTTTGAATATTATCACGGAATACATTATTGGATATATGTACCCAGGGAGACCTGTTGCTAATATGTTGTTCAAGGTGTATGGCTACATTAGTATGAGTCAAGCCCTTTTCTTTATTGGGGACTTCAAGCTCGGTCACTACATGAAGATTCCACCTAAAGCTATGTTTATGGCTCAGGTTTGTCCCTTTTATCTACCCAACTTTTATTTTGTTTAACTCAGTTCTATTTATCAGTTTTTACAACGCTGTCAAAAAACCAATTTCAAAGTCTACAAAATCTTGGAGCCACTTTGAAAGTCAGGCTTTCTCTATCTTAAAGTACTCAATTTGTATAGAGTCAAGATGATGAGGCTTTAGGTTGTTGTAATGAAAAATTAAGCAGAATCATGAATTCTGTTCTTTGGAGTAATGATAACAGAAGTACCTATTATTGTTTCAGGTTGTGGGAGCATTAGTATCAGTAGCAGTCTACACCGGAACAGCATGGTGGATGATGGAGTCAATCCCTCACATCTGTGACCCGTCGCAGTTGCCACCTGACAGTCCATGGACCTGCTCCTTTGACAGGACCTTCTTTTCTGCTTCGGTGATATGGGGGCTGGTGGGTCCACGCAGGATCTTTGGAGACCTGGGGTACTACTCGCACATGAACTGGTTCTTCCTAGCAGGAGCCTTGGCACCTTGCCTAGTGTGGCTTGCTCTGAAGGCATTCCCCAAGCAAAAGTGGATAGGACTCATTAATATGCCTGTTATTTTGGGTGCAACCATGATGATGCCACCTGCTAGTGCGGTTAACTTCACTAGTTGGATCATTGTTGGCTTCCTTTCAGGGTATGTCATTTTCAGGTATCGCCCAAAGATGTGGGAACGCTACAATTACATCCTTTCAGGAGGTCTTGATGCAGGAACAGCTTTTATGACGATTCTTCTCTTCTTTAGCTTGCAATATGCTAGCAATATTAGCCTTGACTGGTGGGGGAACCACTCTGATGATATGATATGCCCGTTGGCTCAATGCCCTACAGCTAAAGGGATTGTTGTGGATGGTTGCCCCGTCTTTTAATCATTCACTTATTCTACCTATTTAATTCGTAGATTCTTTCCAAAGGGATTGTAGTGCGTTTTTTTATTTGATACAAGTATTTTCTCCAAAGGGGATTAGTGATCTAGTTTACAAGGCTCCAAGTAGCTAAATGAAGGGAAGTCTCTGGGACTACTGGGAATTATAATTACTAGAACTGTAGAAGTTGGATTTGATGATTTAGCAATGAAATGTACATGTTCAATTTCATAGAGTTCTTTGGTATTCTTTTATTGGTCATATGCTCATTTTCTTCATTACAACTGTCATGTGTTAATAACTTAATATATAACTTGTAATAGGAAAATGAAGTGTTTCAGAAGTAGAAAATGTAGAATTGCTGAAATAGATGAAAGTAAAACGAAAGAACTTGTCAGTAGGAGGGCGCCCCATTGATCTTGTAGATAAACAATTTTTGTTTATCTATAGGTAAATCGCTATTTCAAGTAGCAACTAAAGTTTACAATATTGCCACTGGATAAACATTTTTATTTATCATGAAAATCACCTTGTATTTTCTTAGTAGGTTTGGCCATTTTCTAAATAAAGAGAAATAATTTGTCATTTCTTATTTTCCTTCACTAGTTTTATACTAGCCCCATATGCATGCGGTGTGCGATAAATTTAAAAGTTAATTAATCTATTATTTATTTAATATTGTCACCCATAAACTGATTCCGTAAGATCTTTCTTATAAATATCGTATCACTAATAAATAAAGCCGATCTCGCAACCAGACCACGAGACAGCGACACTTGGCATTCCAGTTTTTCGCCAAGTATCGCGCCACGTAGGCGACGAATAGGTGTTATTGTGACACATATGATGCTAAGTTAGCGATTTTTTGATAGATTTTTTAAGATAAAATTATTATATAGAGTTTTATTATCGATGGAATTCTAATATTTCATATATACAAAATTAATCATAACTTTTTATAGATATCCTATTACTCAATTATGTTTCCATCATCAAATTCTTTTTAAAAAGTTCTTTAAAATAAGATCCATTTATTTAATCACAAACTTTTATATGTAGCTGGTCAAAGCATGTCACTAACTATTATCAGAGTTAATTCATGAGTGCCGCTATAGGGGTTACTTGGTCAGTGTTATAGTGGTTACTCAATTAGTATTTTAGATAGGGATTACTTAGTCAGTGTTAGAGTTTACTTAGTTAGTATTACATTACAAGGGTTATTCGGTCACTTTTATAGGGGTTACTTTGTTCTGCCAGATGGTGTGGCTAGCCGCATACAAAATGCATTGTTATTTAATTTATTTAAAAAAATAATAGAGAATCAGTAAAAATAAGTTATAATCTGTAAAAATAATTTTAGTTTGGTAAAAATATTTTAAGTTCATTGAAAATAATTTAAGCTCAATATAAGTAATTTCAAATCAATAATAACATAGATATCTTTTTACAAATAAAACTACAAAAAGTACACTATTATATAAATATAAGCCATATGATATCATATGTCTAAATATACACATTATCATAACGGACTATATGACCGTATTTATTAACATTCAAGTAAAAGTATTATTTTAAAATTTTATCAACCATCTAGACATCGGTGGGCACAAAACTAATACGAAAATAAAAAAATAAAAAAAAAATATAAAAAAAAAGACCTCCTTTGTTTTGACTGTGTCATGTGGGATTTGTTAATTTTGTTTTAATTTACAATTTCAAATCGTTAACTTTTTTATAATACTCGTATTTGCTAAACGATAGTTAAAGATGTGCTTGAAAAAAAATGAACATTTTTTATTCACCCAAAAAAAAGTCTTATATTTTATACTTCCTCCTTTCCTTAATAGATGACACGTTTCTTTTATCATGTTTGCCAACGCATAATTTTCACGAGTTATATCTCCCATTATCAACATTGTAAAATTATAAAAAGTAGATATTAATAAAATATACATTAAGACGATTTAAACAAGATCCCACATGATTATGTTTTATCGTAGCTACAAATCACAAAAGTTAGTCAAAGTGTTGTTTGTGAATAGTGCAAAAGTCAAACTGTGTCATCTAAAAAGGTTATTTAAGAGTTGTTTTTTCAACTTTCATTCACAACACTCCAAATTCTCATCCTTACAATTCTAGCCCTTCTATTTTTTATTTTTTATTTTCTTAAAAAAAATAATCAATAACCACCCTTTTTACTCATTAGTACCCATATCACTCAATTAAAATCAAGCCCTTCTATTTTTTTTTTTTAAATAACCAATAATTACCCATTTTACTTGGGGTGACAATTCAGGTTAGCAGGTCGGGTTCGGGTCAGAATACGGGTCAATTTCGAATTGTGCTTTAAACGTATCAAAAATAGTGTATAATTTAAAATTATTACAAAATATGATATTGGGTCAAATTCGGGTTGTTAGGGTTCAATTCAGGTCGGGTTCGGGTTTCGCTCAGTATTTTCTGATCGGGTTCAGGTCAGAGTCGGGTTAAAAAGTTTTTACTCATATTTACCCATATCACTCAATTAAAAAAAATAACCAATAACCACCCTTTAATAATTTTCACTTTTACTTTTTTTTTTTTTCTTAAACATACATCCTACATATAAGCACGGGTAAACTTGTGTTCAAAAAAAAAAAAAAAAAAAAAAAAAGGCACGGGTAAACTCTAATTATCCATAATTTCATATTATGTACTCTCATCCACCAAAAAAAAACAAAAACAAAAAACTTATACAAGTATATCCGATTGATTTTCACAATACGCAGCGTTTGAATACTCCTCCATAAATATGGTTTGAAACCAAACAAACCCAGAGAAAGAGACAGTAACCATGAATTTGAAAAAAACAAACTCCCAAACACCACCGGCGAACTCGCCGACGGGTCAACCGGACTCACAATCGCCATCACCGTCAGCGACGGCGGCAATGGCGGCGGTGGAGGAGCTGGTGGAGTCGCTCAACCAACGGAAAATGTACAGAGAGGTTACACTCGCTCTCCGATCCGGTCTCAGAGACGCGCGAGCTGAGTTCTCCTTCCTCCGAGTTCGCGGCCTTCGTTGCCTCCTCAAGTTCCTTCGTTCCGTCGCTGAGTCTGACTCGGTTATTCGTCTCTTTTGCCTCACTCAATCTCTCCCTGATCTTCAAGGTTTTTTTTCTTTTTCATCTTCTGTTATGATGTGATTTAAGGTTTGATTTTTAGTTGTAAATGTAAAATTGAATTGGTTTTTGTTTTGTTGATTGATTGTTGATTGTGAAATTATGGAAGTTGTAGTTGAATTGATTGTTGAGACATTAGGTTTGATTAATGGCGTCTATTGGTTGAATTGGTGATTGATGCTATGAAATAAATATGAAATCGGAGGAAGAAGCGATTCTTGTATAATAGAAATTTGCAATTGGAAAATTGAGTTTTGAGGAAGATTGAAATGGTAGAAGACGGAATAAGTTCATTTTTTTGCTGTCAATTAGAATAGTTGAGGACGTTTTGTTGAAGGTATTGTATTATATTGGAGTATTGGACCATAGGACACCTTAATTTGTAATTTTGATTATATTGGAACTACCCTCAGCTTCAATGTATTGGAGAATTTTATTACATATATGATTGAACAAACATTTTTCGAGTAAATTTGTCGATTGCTTTGACTTCTGAAAGTAAAAAACTGCACATACTAGTATTTGTGAATGCGAGAAGTAATCAAATAGCACAAGATTGACTTTTTGTTGCACGATGATACGAAGGTGTTCACTTGTGATTGTTCTCAGTCCTTAGTTTGTTTCATTCTTTGAGATGATTTAGACTAAAATATGTTTTTTGGGGCTCTTGAAAGTTTATAAAAGGGTTAAGTGATTGCCTTCTTAATTTGATGGTGTTGGCCTTTTGTGTGATGTATTTACTGTTGGTTATGTATGAGCAGTGGTTCCTGTTCTTTTTCAACATTCACTAAAAGATTCGGAAGAAGATAAGGTGACCAGTTTGGATCATATATTCACTGTTGAACCTATGAAGTTAACAAACCCTTCAACAGATACTGAAGTTGCACTTGCACTTCGTGTTTTGGAAGGTTGCTGCCTAATTCACAGACAAAGTACAATTTTGGCTCACCAGCACAAGGCAATTCCGGTACAGAATGCTCTTTTTGTTATTGTAAATACCTGCTTTTTATTAGTCTCTAATATGATTATGTATATGTTTTATTGGCATTTCTATTCCTACCATCATCTTAGGGTTTAGGGATGAAGTGAGGAAATATATGTCAGAAAGGTTAAAAGAAAGAAGCCTGTGGCTGGTGCTGTTCAGGTCTGAGGTAGTTTTAGAGAATGCTTGATTGGGATCAATAATGAAATAGTGTAAAGTCATGGAAACTGGTGTGTTAGTTTCACCTTCTCTGGAGGGTTCTTAGCTGATTAGCTCTTGCTGAGCATTAACTTTTAGCTCCTCGGCACTATCACCTATAAGTTTTACATACTAGTACTCTGTTTAAGATAAAATGTAAACAGTTGAAGGATAGATTGATAATTTTAATAGCTGAAGGCTACTAAGGAAGCTGTATGATTGTTTATGAAATTTTTTGTATTTAGTTGATTTAAGTCTACGAAAGAAACTTGAGAAGGATTAGTTTCCTGTTACGAGATATGAATATTTAATCATATGCAGGTGTTAATGAATATATTATCGAGTAGAGGAGCTCTAGAGCAAGGTGCCAGTGTTGATGCTTTGATTGCTTTGATGTTAGATTCGACAGCTAATCAAATGGTATGACATCTTAATTAATTTCAGTATAAAATCTATCATCCATTATACAAGTATATGTTTAATTTGAATTCTTGTAATATTTTGTATTTCTCTAGGATTTTGAAACCTGTAATGGTATTGAGGAAGTTGCTGCAATTATTAGAGACAAACAAGTTGATGAAAATCTCAGGTATTTTCAATTCCTGTATCCACTATGTATCAAGAGCTTTATTTCTTTTCTTGTTTTACTATTGGGACCTTTGATAGTGCTCATGGTAGATATGCATTTAGCTGCTTGGCGTGCTAGAAATATGTTTATAGAAATATCCATCCAATCATCCATGATCCATACCTTGCCTTTGTTGTGATACTCCAAGAAGATGTAAGATAACCTTGATTATTTGTGTACTTTATATGTAATCACATCTCGCTTAATCTCTTGCCTTGGTATACTTCGCAGTATCACACTAGTGACTAGGCAGACCTATCCTAGTCAGAATGTTATGGAGTAAATTTTCTGTCAACCACATAATGATAGTGATCTAGCTGTTTGACTTTCTCCTGCCTGCAAATCAATCAGCTCAAACATATAAAGCTTTATCTATTACTCCCAGTATCCAGAATCAACTGTAACATTGTTAAAATAACCAGTAATGTAACAGCCAAATTTGAATGGAGATGATTTATTTGTCCACATTAGATTCTTCTGCTGCAATCCTTATGCTGACACTCACTTTACTATAAATAGGATGAAATGTGGAGAATTTTTGTTATTACTCATTGGGCACGTGGATGGGAGAGATATGCAGCCAATGGCAACAGTACATGAGGACATACGTCGACTTCTAGGGGAAAAATCTGCGTCGTTGATATGGGCAGCTAGTCAATTCGGCTCAACTCTTGATCCAGAGGAGAGGATGACAGCTCTGCACATCCAAGCTCGCAGAGTCCTGGAATCGCTTGATCTCTTTGGAGTGTAGCAGACAATTAGTGATTTTGGAAGGTTAAGAGTACATGATTTACTGATCTTGTTTGGACAATCCATATGCAGAAGATTGGTGCCTACAGTTTTGACTTTCTATTATGTCTAAGCTTCAAGGAGTGTAGGTTAGCCAAGTTGCTGTCTCTGTTGCTATCCTCTGTTGGTGCTTCTACCATTTCTCTGCAAGTCTGGTTTTTGACTCTTGCCTGGAATGCTACACAGTAACTTTTTGTATGTCAATTTCATTACTCTGGGTAGCTGTATAGAGCTTGTTCATCTCCCATGGAGTCATGGACCACTCACCATGGTTTATTAAACATATGTCGATGTATAGATGACCATACATTGTGGGTTGACTTTACTGTAAATGATAGTTTCTGTTGACAATCGGCATTAACTTTGATGCTTTATTCCTGATTAAAGTAAAAGATTTTTTTTCCAGATATTAATATTTGATAAATAGATTTTTCTGTTCCCTGAGTTTCCTTGAGAATGTTTTCTCAGAGGCCAGAACTTATCCAATTTCTCTGTTCCTAGTACCTTTTTTTTTTTTTTAATGGAATTATAGCACAGTAAGTGATACTCGGGCCTTGCATAGAAAGGGCAAAGTTAAATCAATAAGCTTTAATAAAGGACCAAGCTTTCTACTAGGCCAAGGAGTTGTAATACTATGATTGCTTGTTATCCAAAAAAACAAAAAAGTTTATAACATGTTGATGCAGTTTATTGTGATTATGAGCCAATTTTTGTTACCGGGATTAAACAATAAAATAGGTCAAGTTAATTGTTATTCCTAATTATGTTTGGATAGGTTGGTTAGACAATTTAGGGAGATTTGTTATTAGTTATTACAGATTTATGGTAACTTTAACACATTAGAAAAACAAAACCGTGTTAATACAACAGAGCATCAAAACTATCTACTCCTACTTCGAATCAAACTTTCCAAAAATTGAAAAATAGGTGTGACGTGATTGCCAAGTGAAGCCAGAACTCATATAAACAACACCCACCAACAATATCCCACGTGTTCCACAAAACCTACACCTACTTGAAAAAAGCTGTTGTCTTCAACTTCGCAACTCTTATTAAGTCAGCACTCCTGTCCTTTTTATAAACCCCCTAAAAAAAGCATAAACAACCCAAAATCAAACTGTTTTATTTTACCCGATTAAACATCAAACATGTCCGGAGATTCTGCCGGAAAATCGCCGGAATTTTCGCCGGAAAACGATTGGATTAATCTATTGAAGAACTTGGAAACTACCCAGATTGCTGAGGTTTTTGATGGGGTTTGTTCAGATTGTCAAACTCTTCTTAAATCTCGAATTCTTTCCCTCTCTAATCGTAAGATTACTTCAAACTTTTTTTTTTTTTTTTAAGAATTGATTTTTTTTTTCGCTCTTTTAATTACTAATTTATTTGCTTTAATTGATTTTTGTACTGAGTTTGGTTGGATTTTTTTTAATTTTTTTTGTACTGAGTTTGATTCAATAATTGTGAAGTTGGGAATTGGGATTATGCAAGGTTGTAAATTTTAATTTTGTTGGGGTTAAAGGAGTAGAAATTTATAATCTTTCACTGCTAATATATATACACAGTTGAGTGATTTAACAGTGATTGTAATAACAGATTGTTAGAAAAGATTGAATCTTTGGAATTATTACCTCCATTCGGATATAATTTAGTTATCGCATTACTAGTTTATATGAGGTTATACACTATCAATTTGACAATTAATTACACACGGAGGGGTACTCGTGGAAAAATAACAATTTCAAGACTTAAGCATGTTTTTTGCTAAAAAAAAAAAAAGGTTATGTACGCATGTTTTTAGTATGAAAGGTGCACATATGACTTTGGTCTTTGATTTTGAAATTATAAATCAATGTCAACACTAATACACTATTGTAATATGTTTCAAGAGATTTACGCATTCAAGTGGCGTAAGGGAGGATGAGATATATGCAATTGTAATCTACAAAGAAATTGCTTCTTAATGTGATAGGAAATTTGTTGATAAATCTAATGATATGTTGTTCAATTTCTGTTTCCTGTTATTTTGACTGATTGAAGATGAATATGATATCCTTGATCAGTTTATTTGTGATTTGTAATATGCAGAACATACTGTCAAAGAATCCAATGAAGTCGGTGTCAAAGAATCCAATGAAGTCGGTTTATCAATGTCTATTTCGTCTGAAACAAGTGCAAATTCTACACCTTCTAACAATAACCAACAACATAGCAACCAGGAGAAAACCCATCTTAGCACAGAATCTGTCCATTCAATGAGTCAAGAAACCAATACGGATTACGAATCTCCTTCACCAGCTAATCAGAAGCCACAACTGCGTGATCTTTTCAGTAACCTTAACTCATCTCCGAGTAATGGAAACCATGTTTCTCCATCTACTAGTGCTAATGGATCGTCAGATGAAGAGGAGTGGCGCAGATTTTCACAGGTTAAGAGGAAAAAGGATTTTGTGCATTATGAGAGGGTAGATGGGAAGAGGGTAAATGTGGTGCAAGGATTGGAACTTCATACTGGAGTTTTTAATGCTGAAGAACAGAAGAAAATTGTCGAATCTGTTTACAACTTTCAGAAACTGGGACGAAAAGGGCAGCTTATGGGTATGTTTGTGAATCTCTTTGCATCTTTTAAGGGCTTTTTTGGTACTCATTACTTTTAGTGTCCAAGTGTATCTTTAGATTATCCTTTGAGTCTTTGACTCTTTGTTAGTAGATTTGTGATCAAATAGAAAATATGGTTTCTCAAAAACCCGGTTTCAGTTTTCAAACAAACCCCAAAGCAGAATATTCTGAATGATATCAAGCAAACTCTGTAATGTACGCGATTAAGATGTTGCTTGTCTTAATTTTTCGTTTGGTTTGGATTTTTGTAGAACGTACTTACTCTGAACCAAAGAAGTGGATGCCTGGGAAAGGACGTGTGACCATTCAATTTGGGTGTTGCTACAATTATGCAGTGGTAATTTTTATAATTTCCTTTATCTTCTAGCTTTCTCTTTTGTGTTTTGTGATCAGTTTATAATATCTATGTTTTATACTTCGTATTTCTAAATTTACTTGCAGGACAAAGATGGAAATCCTCCGGGAATAATTAGGGATGAGGAAGTTGATCCCATGCCTCCCCTATTTAAACAGATGATTAGCAGAATGGTGAAGTGGCATATCCTGCCTCCTACATGTGTCCCTAACAGTTGCATAGTGAATATTTATGATGAAGGTGATTGTATCCCTCCTCACATCGATCACCATGACTTTCTTCGGCCATTTTGCACCGTCTCTTTCTTGACAGAGTGTAATATCGTCTTTGGTTCGAATCTCAAAATCTTAAGCCCTGGAGAGTTCACTGGTCCAGTTTCCATTCCTCTTCCTGTTGGGTATGCCTTTTTCTTGTTTGATTTAATTTGTTAATTTCTTGAACTGTTAATGTAGCTGTGAAAATCTCAATTATTTTTGTACTATGATCAGCCACCTGAAGAGGTAGTATAGTTATGTACTCCTGTGTCCTGTCCTGTATTAGTTGAAAGTCTTGATGCATGCATACATAGCTTCTTAGGGTATCCTTTAGTCAACTTTTTGGCAAGTTCTCTCTTTTCTTTTAACTACATGTCATCCCCTTTATCTTTCTGCGGATATGGTACAGCTGAAATTATATAATACATTTGTATGATGCTCGCCAAATATTTCACTGCAAGTCTATAATTATGGCAATATACCACTAAGTGGCACTAACAAAGTATTGGCAGAAGATATAATAAGTTGTGATTGACTTTTTTATGTGCCAAACTAGGGGAGGGGTTAATTTTCTTCCGTAGATTGTTGTTTTAATGCAGACACTGATCTATTCAGTAGTAATTTCATTCATCAGACAAATGTTCAGATTGGATAATTTTGGTGTTCAGTTGGCAGCTCTTTAAACCTTTTTTTTTTTTTTTTATCTTTTAACTTACCACGGTGCTGATATTCTTTTTATGCTGCAGGTCGGTTCTTGTTCTAAATGGTAATGGAGCTGATGTTGCTAAGCATTGCGTTCCTGCTGTCCCGACAAAAAGGTTTGTCTGATAACTCTATGTCCTAGAAACATCTGATATGACATTACTAATTATTAATGTGTACTCTTTATTTCTTTTTCTTGTGTTCTATATTTTGACATTGTTTGATATCTTGCCTTTTTTTAGGATTTCTGTCACATTCAGAAGGATGGATGATAGCAAAATTCCTTACCAATTCTCTGATGATCCTGAATTGCTGAACTTAAAGCCTCTTGTTCGATCTTCATTGCCCAAAGTAGGCATAGCAGTCCAAAATCAACATCAAGTTAATAGAGTTAATGGCAAAGCAGATAAATCAGATGCGCAAGAAACAATTGGCTTATCAAACTCAAGAGAAACAGTGAAGAACTCTTTTGTCCTCCAAACAGACGACTTCCCCCCATTAGGTGGCTTCAAATCGAGGAAACGTTGAATAAGTTTGGTGTGCATGGATGATGAGTGAGGGTTTTTATCTTGCAATGATGCTTTTGTTCTCATGTTGTATCATTAATGTGCCTTTTGATGTTTCACATTAATTTTACTTTATATAACTTCAATTTTTTTAGAGGGATAATTTTAAAGATATATTTCTTATACCATTATACTTTGGAAAAATTCACGGGAATAATCCCACGTTTGGGCCATTCATTTTTAATAATCCCACCTTTGGATTATTATTTAATAATCCGACCTTTACCTCCCATTCTTTTTTTATTGGTCCCATTTGACCAGAAACCGATTAAACCGGTCAAAAAAAATTTAATTTTTTTTCTTTTCTCTGTCCTTCCCCGAAACACCACCAGTGCTCCACCCACCACCACTGCACCACTCCGGTCCCATCCCAACCGGTCCTTATTCCACCCAACTCTTCTGCATCCCCGGTTCCACCCCTTCCCGACCACCGCAGCCAACCCCCACCACCAAAAACTCCCACAAACTCCCCACCCCACCTGACCACAATTCCCTTCTCCTTCACGAATAGCAGCCTTGCTGCTGTTGTCTCTCCTCGCACCAACAATAAAAGCCCCACCGCGGCGCCGCATCACCAATTCCCTAATTGCGTAACAAATCACAGCCAACGCCACCAATTACCACCAATTCGCCACCCCAATTAGCAATTCACCACCAATTTCAACATTTTCGCCCACCACCGTTGATTTTGTTGAAATTCGTGATGGACGTTGATGATGGGCATGATGCGTGAAGCTAAAGAACAGAGCAACCACTAGCTTGACGGTGATGATGGGCTTGATGTGTGATTGACGGTGCAGTGGTCGGAGATTTTCTCAGGGTGGGGGAACGTGGGCTGGTCACCGGTGGCTAGCAGGGCAGAGGGAAAAGGGGTGGGGTGGTCGGATTTCAGAGGGGAAGGGGGTGGGTGGTCGCTGGTCAGATTTGGGAGAGGAAGGGGGTGGAGTGGTCGGATTTGGGAGTGGAAGGGGTGGTTTCAGGTGAAGGGGGAGTGGGGATGCGGTGGTTTCATATGAAGGGGGTGGGGCTGTGGTGGTTGTTCGGTGGTGGGTGGTTGCTTGGGAATTTTTTATTTTATTATTTTTTCTTTAAATAAATTTAATTTTTTTAAAAAAAATTTTTTACCAATCACAGGCCGCCACGTGTCATGTAACCTGTACAGGTTACATGACCTGTTTGACCAATAAAAAAGAATGGGGGGTAAAGGTCGGATTATTAAATAATAATCCAGAGGTGGGATTATTAAAAACGAATGCCCAAAGGTGGGATTATTCCCATGAATTTTTCCTTATACTTTTTTTTTAAGAGTTCTTGTACCATTATATTGTTATTTCATAAACTAATCCAATTCTTTTAGTATGTCCTTGCCTTTTGTTTTGGCCTTTTGCTTACTTGGATGAGCGCTTTGTCAAACATCATAAGGAAAAAAATTGTACTTGTATATATATTCTGAAGAATTATACCTAGTACATAATAAATGGTGTACTAAACAAAATAGTTCTTATCAAAGGTACATTACTCATAGATAAAAATACAGTATATACTTCGATATATATACTCTATATGCTGTGACGTATTTCTCTGTGTCATGTAGTATGAAGTACATGGTTAGGACTAGCTAATTCCCTGCTTTGCATACAGTCCAAAGCAGCCTATGATCTATGTGAATAAATAGTAACAAACATGTCTATCTTACTCATTGGATCATACTACAGTGACATTACTATACATAATGCGTACAACATTTGGTGTACGGGAATAATCCTCTCTATCTGGTAATTTACTGCTGCTTCAATCTTACTTTCAATATGTACACTCATTGTATGGAAGCGAAGTATACAACCATGTTTTCATCTGCATGGTTAAACTCTCTAACAAAGAATATATCTCCTCTGTTCTCATATGAGATGAATCACTTGCGGTGAACACATGAACATCATTCCCATCTTCAATCCAACTACATCCAGCATTTTTTCGCATTCTTCTCGCTGTTATAATCTTACGTATTCTTAACAAATCATTCCATCTACCAGAAAGTGCATACATATTTGCCAATAGAATGAAGTTCCCAGTGTTATTTGGTTCCAATTCTAGAAGCTTTCCTGCTGCCATTTCACCAAGCTTCACATCACCAGAAACTACGCAACCTCCAAGTAAAGCTCCCCAAGTCACAGAATCTGGTTCCATTGGCATGTTTCTAATCAGCTTGTAAGCTTCATTGGTTTTACCACACTTACTTAACAGGTCAACCAAAGCCGTGTAGTGTTTCAGTGAAGCTTTCACATTATAACGATCCATTGAACTGAAAATCTCATTGCCAATGTCAATTTTCCCAGCATGAACACAAGCAGAGAGAACTGATAAAAAGGTAACCTCATCTGGTACAAAACCATTGGCAAGGATGGTATTGAAAAGAGATATACCTTCCTCTCCAAGGCCATGCATTGCATAGGCAGTAAGCATCGCATTTTGGGAAATCAGATTAGGTTTTGATATCCTACTATTTGCCCTTATTGCGTTCTTTATGCTCCCACATTTTGAATACATGTCTACAAGGGCCGCTCCAATATAGACATTTGAATCATACCCACATCTGATGGAATGCCCGTGAACCTGCTTGCCTCGTTCAATTGTAGCCAATCTAGAACAAGCAGGTAAAATTATCCCTATTGTATAGATATCAGGCCTTAAATTTGTACTCTGCATCTCCTTAAGCAACTGTAAAGCAACTTCATAGTGGCCGTTTTCTACATGGCCTGAAATTATTCCATTCCATGTATATACATTTGGATCAAAACCATACTCTCTCATTCTTTTTAGAAGAATTGGAAGTGCATCCATCTGATTGCACCGAGCATAGCCCAAGATCAGAATATTCCATGTGCTTATATCACTATCATTAACTTCTTCAAATGCCTGCAGAGCAGCCTTAGGATCTTGGAATGTAATGTACATTTCGATTAAGGCTTCTGCCACAAAAGGATTAGAGTTTAGACCCTTAATGATGGCTTGACAATGTATCTCCTTTCCTTGTCTCAGAGAACCCTTGCCAGAACAAGCAGAAAGAGCACTTCCTAGAGTATACGAGTCCACTTCAATCCCTTCTACCATTTGCATCTCCTTAAACAAGTTTAATCCTTCTTCAAAGAGGAGGTTATCCACATATCCTGAAAGCATTGCATTCCATGTTATAAGATCCCTCTTAATCCCGTTCATTTCTAGTTGGTTAAGAAGGTCCTTGGCTTTTGATATTTCACCAGTCTCACAAAATCCAACAATCATAGTATTGAAGGACACTACATTCTTCACTGAAAACCTCGAAAACAATTTCAAAGCATTTTCCATGTCACCACTCCTCCTGTACACATCAAGCAGCCCATTCACCACAATGGGGTTGGTCATAAACCCATGTCTAGTGATATAGGCATGAATCTCCTTACCTAACCTTGGTGTTTGTAGCTTAGCAAGAGCTGGTAAAACACCAGCGATTGTCTGTGCATTTGGCTCCACCCCTCGAGCTCTCATTCTAGATAACAAGTCGATAGCTTCGTTCACATACCCATTTTGCGCAAAACCACTAATAACCCCACTCCAAGAAATGATATTTGGGACAGAATCTCCTGAACTCGACATCTTATCCAAATTCTCCAATGCCTCATCAACCATGCCATTCACAGCACAAGCTGAAAGCAGACAATTCCACGAGACAGAATCTCTCTCGATCATCGTACCAAAAACCTTCTTGGCATCACTCAAACCCCCACATTTCCCATACATATCTATCAAACCATTACCCACATAAACATTCAAAACAAACATAGCTTTTATCACAAACCCATGAATTTGCCTCCCAAGCTCCATATCCTGAAGCCCACTACAAATCTTCAAAACAACAGGAAAAACAAAGAAATCCAACCTCAAATCCTCAAACATCAAATCTAAAAACAGCGAAAAACCATCCTCAAACAGCTCATAATCCACACACACACTTATCAATGCTAACCAAGTGTACAAGTTTCTCTTAGGCATTTTATCAAACAGCATACGTGCATCATGTAAACAATCACATCTACCATACATTTGAAGCAATTTAGTCTCAACAAATTCATGCCCATGAAACCCAGATTTAAGGGCATGAGCATGAACTGATTTACCCAGAAATGGGGTTGTGCAAGATTCAAGAAATGAAGCATAGTTGGTGGAGTCAAATGGCAGATTAGTGAAGGATTGGTCAAAAGAGAGAGAATAGCAGATGGGTTTGCAAATTGATTTCAGTTTTGAGAAGGCTATTATTGGCGGGTATTGAGAATTTGAGCTACGCTCAGGTGGCTGTAACACCCATGAAAGTCGCGGGGTTGCAACAGTTTGTAACGGTATCATAGCCATTTATGTTAGAATTGGAGATTGCCTGTGTTTGTAACTTGTAAGTGGTACGGAGTATATACTCCCGTTGTTTCTTTTAGTGGACGAAAATTTAATGGAGGGACTGAGGGTGTAAATCATAATTTTAATTATCATCATATCAGTATGTCTTTTAACTACTCCGTATCTTTTACAATTGCGTTAATTGAGAATAATAGTTAGTTGTAAGTAGATTAGACCCGTGCGATACACAGATGAGAAAATTATTAGAATGAAATAAATTGTTTCTATTTATTATTTTTCTGTACATACTTATAATTTAAATCATAAAAATATATCTTTCATCATAAATTACTAAGTAACAAAATATAAAAATAAAAGTCAATCTGATCTAATCAAACCATATGCATACAAATTTATATATCTAAGAGTTTGAAATACAAATTAAAAATACATGTAACTTAAATAAATTGAAGCGGTGTAATAAACAAAAAAATAAAATAAATTGAAGCACCTTGGAAATACTGCGAAACAATGGTAACATTTAACGACAACATTAGTTCATTTTGTATAACAAACATCCATATTATTATTGCATGACTTTATAGCTAGGTTGAAGCACCTTGGAAATACTGCGAAACAATGCTTGCACGATCCTTAGTTTACACACACAAATAACAGTAAAACCTTAAAAAAAATTAAAAAATTGTTGTAGTTACCTAAAATGTTTTAGCTCAATATCAATTTTATTTATTCCAACCAAAAAAAAAATATTTATTTATTGACATAGTCAAAAATTGAAAAAAAAAAATTAATAATAACCAATTTCTAAAAAAAAAAACCAAAAATATATATGACATCATAAGTGCATTAGGCGGGAAAATTTTTTATGAGAGAGCGACACGTATACAGTTTGAGGAGAGGATGATGTCAGCAATTTTCTGTTTTAGTAATAGTTAATAGATTGAGAACGTTTTAGAATTAACCCTTTCAATTTTGTAACAGATGATAACTATTTGATATTAGTTCGTAGTTGTGAAAGTAGATGTTAGTTGTAAAAATAGATGTTAGCTACCAATTACTTACTACTTAGTAGTAAGAGCAATTGCTAATCTAGTTGTGAAATTTAATTAATTGTTGAAATAGTAGAACACTTTAAATAATGACAATTCTAAAGAAAATTTAGTACTCCATAGCTTTTATGAACATTGATCTAGTTGAAGAGCTAAAATTTATTTTTCATCACTAAAATACTAAAACTACTCCAAAGATTGTTAGTCAAACACACCATAAAGCCCTGTTTTTTTGAGCTTATGAGTAGAGCATGGAAAATTTTAGCAGAGGAGAACAAGTGTTAGCAGATTATTAATACTCAACATAACAGGGCTTAGTGAAGCAAAACAAATTTTAATAGAGTAGAGCAGACCACATTAGCTCAAAAAAATAGTGCCTAACTTTTTTATTATAACAAAAACTTACACTTTTGTTGTCAACATCATAAACAAAATTACATTTGCTATGTCTACCCTTGGGGCTACATTTAATAACTTCTACACCATAGGGCCACTTTACATAAATTCTAGTTTTACTATAAGGAAGATTCTATTTGACCAAGACTTTCTCTAAGGCTAAATTGATAAATGTATGTATGTGTCTTGCCTTTTTGCACAAAATAAAAAATATTTATTATAAATATCTATTGTGTTTTTTTTAATATTATTCTTATTAATATTATTATTAGAATTATTATAATTATTATTATTTAAATTAATTAAATATTATTTTATGATTTCTTTAAAAAAAAATTATTTTATAATTATTATTATTATTATTGTTGTTGTTGTTGTTGTTGCTGTCATTACAAGAATAAATTTTGACAAAACTAAGTGGCACTAAACTGTAAAGATCTGAAAATTACTACTATTTATCTTTAAGACAAAAAAGACGACGTTGTAGATAATTATGAACTCATGAAGTTTGATAATTTCACAATATTTCCATTCTCCACCCACCAAAAAAAAAACAAAAGAAAAGAAAAAAAAAAGAAAAAGAAAATTCACAATATCAAATAAAATGTCATGAAGTCTAATATATGCATGGAAATTAATGTAGGACAAGCAATGAATGTTAATGGCGGAAAGATGGCAAAAGGTAGCCCTTGCCCTAGAGCTTATTAGCACAATGGTTGTTGACTTGTTGAGACTATGGTCTATAATTGAGAAACATTGTGAGTTTAGACTACAATATTACATATACCCTTCCACAATTATTTCACCCACCCACTCCTAGAGATATTGCCCATTAACCTAATTCTGGTTTGGAAACAACTTATATGGAGTACAATTTATAGTTTATACCATAAAAAGTTCTTACGGATGAGAGAACTCTAATTAATCACTTTGATAAACAAAATTCTCTATTGAACTATTTTTGTAATTAACATACGAACTATTGAATAATCTATGAGAGACTTTTGTCATATTATAGTTAAATATGGAAATTATCAGAGCAATTTTTTTGCTAATGGGTTTATCAATTTGTCCATAATCATAAAATAAATGTCCAATCAACATGACATTTTCGTAATTATATAAATAATTATGGGTCTATATTCATTACAGTCAATTTATTTAGTTTTTTTTTTTTTTTTTGAGGAAAGTCAATTTATTCTATTCTCATTTGATAAACTTGTATTTTTCCGTAGTATCATCAATCTATTACTCCGTACTTGTCAATTGTAAAAGTTAAAATGTTGCAATTTTCAAGAATGGTGAAATATTTGAATGAATGTTAACCGTATGATATAAATTTAGATCTGACGGTTGACATATTATGCGTCTAATTAGTATTCCTCCAATGTTCTCATATTTTTCCCATTGAAGCTTTTCACTTTTACGCTGCACCTCTCTCTCTTTCTCTGTCCTCCCCCCCCCCTCTCTCTCCTCCATTAAAGCGTACTCTGAGTTCTCCATTGAAGCGGCTTCAGAGGTTTCTCTCCTCCATTGAAGCAGCTTCTCAGGTAACATGTTTATTCCTTTTTTTCTTCTGATTATAGATATATTTTTCACAATCTAGGGTTTAATTTCACACTATTTTTAATCTAATTGGCAGTATAGTCAATCTAGGGGTCTTCCTGGATGGATTATTGAACTATTGTTATAATTACTGAAGTTATGAATGCCTATAATGAGCGATTTTGTTGCTAGAGTTTTGCTATGTGTAATTTACGTTCGTTTTCTTAAACGAGAAGAAATTAATTTGATTTTTCGAGCAAAGTTTGATAATTGAGTTAAAGTTGGTTGCTAATGTGCTGCATTTTTCAAGCCTAATCGATCCCATGATGTCGAGCCGAGCAGAGCAGAATTTATTCGAGGCTGTTCGACAGTTCGAGAAGAGGGTGCCTTATGAACTTGATTTTCGGACTCAGGCTTGCTCAGCTTTGCTTAAGGCCTAAGAGATCACTGACATCACTTATAAAAATTAGCAATTGTAAAATCAATGTTAAAGTGTGAAGGAAGAGGGAAGATTAAAAGTGATACGATCTATGTCATAGTTATATACTTATATGGTTACACCATTCAACACTTCAATGTATTGGAGGACTGTAATGATTGAGTTTGGAAACTATTTTTTCCCCTCAAATCTGACATAGATCGGGCACACCAGATTGGTTGTATATGTGCAACAAGGGTATTTGTACAAGTGTGGACTTGGCTATTTGATGAAAGATTAACGTGTCATAGAACTGAATTGTATTTAGTACAGTATTGAATTGTCCAATTCTCAACCTGTTTTCGAAAGAGAATAAGCCAGCAATAATATATATAACCAAATTGGCTTGCTCTCTTGTGAAGCAAATGTTATTATATATATCTGTTAGGACTGCTTTTCTTAGGCATCTGATTGTCATAAATTTTGTTTTATGCACTTACTTTATGCATCTCCTTTACTGTGCATATGTCTCCAATCTAATGGTAGGATAGATTTTAATGTAATGCTGACTCCTAAAGTTCTAATTTCCTAGCAGTATGTATTTTTTGTTACTTGTTCAATGTTATCTTAGACTATTTTTGCTGTAGGTTATTGTGGAGATTCAACATTACTTAATCTGCTGGAAACACCTTTGTAAAGAAGCATGTTTGGTTCAAGTAGCCGTAAGTATTTTTACATTGCTTGTTCCGGCTGAAGTTTTAGTTTTTTACTCTGAATTTCGTTGTTTGTTCTTGAACAGTATTTACATTGAGCAAACACACTTTAATCAATATTTTCTACGCTTATTGCTGTTAATTTTTTTTTTTCTTGCATAATGTCTTGCCCATAATTTGATGGCCCTTATAGCAGATATAGACTAAAAAAAAACTCACTTGGCCGCTGTACACAATGGGTGATCCCACAACTATACTGATGAATCTGATAATGTCTTTGGAGTGCTTATATCTTCAAGTTCGATGATCTCCTCACCAGTATTCTATCTTGAGCACCATCTTGCCTAAGATGTCCTATAGAGTGCTCATTGAAGACAAATGTCATAGATATCTGAACTATGATAGACAGATAGACATGTGACACAAGTCATGCTATTTTACGGGGAGTCATGCCCACATGTCATGAATTAAGTAGATATGTTGATCAACTTATTTTATTCTTGTTTGAGTAGATATGCTGATTAACTTATTGTATTCTTGGTTAAGTAGATATGTTGATAAACTTATTGTATCATTGTTTACGTGGAGTCATGTCCACATGCCATGAATTAAAAATTACCCAGCTTGCAGAGAATACCGGCTGATCTTGTATTGTTGCCTGAATTTGAGATTCTTATCTCTTAAATCTCTCTAGTGGTGTATCGCATTTGTCAGGAGTCAACCACCACTGCTCTGTGTTTGACCCTCTCTGCCTACTCAATATTGCCCTTCCTCATGGCTACTCATGCTTTTGCAGCAATAAATGACTTCTTGTCGTCCCTATGGGGGTTATGCATCCTGTCATATTTGTCAAGGGAGGAGTGGGTCCTCTCATCCCCTTGCTATGCTTTAGGTTTGACTACTACAAGTATATCTTGAATTTGCTCTCTAAGTTCACTGTTTAAGAAGTAAAGGGGCATTATCTATCTTCTAGAAGCGTGATAGTGTGATACTGAGAGTTTATTTTCCCACCTTTTCACTTTATTTTGAGTGGTATTTATTACACCAGTAAAATATGTTTGCTGACTAGCTAAGATGAAAAAATCCAGCTGGTAACAAGAAGTCTTTTCTTTAAGCATGCTTATCCTGCATTCAAATTTTAATTTGTGTTCAATTGTTCTTTTCTTATTTTTTTGGGTTGTGCAAAGATTTATTAATTATACTTAATATCCATGCAATGCCTTTTATTTAGCTTGATCCAGAATCATTATCTCTATGTGCACTATTAGTGTGGTATTGATCATCTCTGCATACATTTAGATTCATAGATTTCCAAGACCATCATCTATGGTGGGATCCTTTGACTGTGAACTATTTACTTTTTCTGACTATGGATCATCTTTGCATCTTCCTCAACTAAGCCCTCAATTGTTATATGTCGATCCTGTGAATGTTAGGAGGATGTGCTTGCAAATTTGTGGATGTGATTTAACTTCTAATTTTCATAAATTAAGTTTTGGTTGAGGTTGCTATAGCATTAATGGCCATGTCACTCATGTGGAAGCAGCACCTTGTGATTGATGTCTTGCTTTGTTTCCATCATAGAGTGAATTGACAAATTGGAAAATTTCACTTCATAGTTGTAATCTTAGATCTTTGGATAATAAGTTATGTCAGAGGATATTCTCTTATAGCCCTTTTTTTTTTTGGTGAAGATAATATGTTTTCAACCTCTTTAAATCTACAAATATGAGTTAAGTGCTATGTTGTATGTGAATTTTCATAGTATGGCTGTATGAAGTGCGTAAGCACATAATTTCTTTAATTACAGGTTATGATGGCTGATGTTTTAACAAATCTGCTTATAATGGTATTCACAATGTGGTTTTTGAACAGCTGTTACAGAACAAGAATTAAAAAAAAATCTTTACAGAGTAGATAAAACAATTCTACCTTGTTTTCAGGCCTTGGTTATCATATTGATTGAAATAAGTAATGGCTGGACAGCTGGCTGTTTGCTTCATTTTTCTTGTTGATTTTTGGCTATTGGTTTCATTTGCTATATGCTTTATAGTGTATACCTCTTGACCTCCTTTAGCTTTGCAAATGGCTGGAGCCAAAGTTGGTCTTGGTGTTACTGTTGTCTTTGCTGCTTGTACCATCTACTATGGCATCTTTTCCTGATGTAGATGGTTGTAGTGTTAAACATTATGGGTTTCATTATTTTCATAGTTTTTTTTTTTTTTTTTTTTTTTTTTTTTTTGGTGTAGATTACTACCTCTTTAAATGAAATTACTACATATTAGTTGCAACTTTTGCCATAAAGGGGTGTTACACATTAGTTGCAACTTTCAATTTTTTTTTCCTTTTTTAGTATGTTTTTTAAATGAAATTACAAAAATTCCCTTACTGAATATTTCATAAACACAATTAGTTACCTAAATCAGATTTCATTAAACTTCTAATCTAACTTAATTAACATAATATTGTCACCCAATTAAATCAACAATCAATTTAAAAAATCATTCACATCCATCATCATCTCCCACAAAATTATCAGCCCACCACTTTAGCATTGCCGCCGCTACCTCAAACCACCACCTTCAACGCTGCTGCTCATCACCACCTTCAACACCGCCTCCTCCCCCGGTGTTCTTTTCTCTTTCTCTCTCTTCTTTTTTTAAAAAATAAAATTGATTAGATCTGATGCTCTAAGAGATGGTTAGGCTAGTTTGGGATGGTTATGGAGTGCCTAGAGGTGATTTGGACACCACCTTCTCAATGTTGCCGCCGCATCTAACCACAACCGTTAACGTCGTCGCTGCTCGAGGTCTGATTTTGGTGCTCGAGATCTGTCGCTGCTCGAGGTGGCTGCTCAAGATCTGATTTCAGTGGTGCTCTAGGTCGTTTAGATCTGATTTTCTTAAAAAATCAAGTTGACAGGGGGTGGTTTCGGTGTCGTTTGGGTTGAGAGAGGGTGATTTTAGGGTTGTTTGGGCTGTAGGGGGTGGTTTTAGGGTTGTTCGGGGTGGGTGGTCGGACTGAGAAGGGGGTGGTTTCGGGCTGAGAGATGGTGGTTTTAGGGTTGTTCGGGTGGTTCATGTAATGAGCCGACCCACACCACCACTACTACACACCTACCACAGGAGAAAGAGACAAATACAACAGAGGGGAGAGGAGGCAGTAGCAGCGACAGAAGGGAATGCAGCAGCAGCAGGGACAGGGGAGCACTCTCCACCCACAACAGCAACGTTGGTGTCTTAATTATGTTCTGAGATTGTTGTTTATGCTTTTGGGTAAAAGACGGAATGTAGTACTTGTAGTAATTAAAGCTAGTTGCCACATCACTAGTTAGAATAGTCCTATATATATGGGAAGCCTAAGAAAGAGAAGATTATTCAGAAAAGTTGTAAGCTTTGAGCTTTGGAGACTTGTGGCCTAAAGTCACTAATTTTGTATTAACCATTATCAATCATTTATCAATCAATCAACCATCCGTCTTTATCTCTATTTATCTTCTAAAACTGTTGCTTAAGCCACGCAGTCCGTTGCAGTTCAGGCTGTGAGGTGGGTGGTTTTTGGGTGGCTGGTGTTGGGCAATGGTTGTTGTGTGGCTGTTGTTGGTGGTGTTGTCAATTTATTAATTACCTTCATTTTCTCTCTCCTACCCTTAATTTACTATACTTTAATTCGTTAATTAACCATTATGAAATTTTGTCTTAAAATCCGTGTCGAGCTCAAAGTTGCAACTAACCTGAAACGGAGGTAGTAATTTGTTATGCTCTCTCTGTGGGTCTTGTCAAATATTTTCTTAATAAGTTGTTTGTTTTGTGATCTATCAGCTTTTGGGCAGTCACCTAGTGCATCCTTTGGATCTCAGTCACCTTTTGGGCAAAGCAATCCAACCAGTAATCCTTTTGCTGCTAATCCTTTTGGTGCTGCTAATCCTTTCGGTGCACAGACAGGAGTTTCAATGTTTGGTAGCACCTCAACTGGTGTTTTCGGTCAATCATCATCACCACTGTCTTCAACACCGGTGTTTGGTGCAGCTTCATCACCAGCATTTGGGAGTTCCAATCCGGCTTTTGGAAGCTCATCATCATCCTTTGGAGGTATGTTGTTGATGTGTCATTTCTTTTTACATTCAGTACTATGCCGCTCTTTCCAATGTTAGAGTGGAACATTTTAACTGTGGAAATCGTAATTTCCTAATTCACCTGTTTTGCAACACCATTTCTAACTCTTGGTACACACATTCCAAGTCAATTAAGGGTGTTAGACTATTAGATTGTTAAGTATTCTGTTATAATTTTACTAGAAATGTTGCTTCTTATAAATCAGGCTCTCTGTTTATCTGGCTGATTTTTAATATCTCGAATGACAGTCCATTCTTCAAATATACTTGCATCTTCACTGATGTCCCCATATTTTCCATACTGTCTTTTTATGTAGTTATGTGGCATACTTTTATCTTAACTGATGTTGCATCTGTAATACTTATCACTGAGTCCGGGTAGCATGGGTCAATGGAGGGAATAGGTTTTCAGGGTTACTGGGAATGCACTAGCTATTATGGTCAGAAATGTTTTCTTATGTGAGCGTAGGCTGTTAAATGCTTATATATTTTGCTAATGATAGTGTCCTTCCATTCCTTGTTCATAGAAACTTGATAAGCCATATTATTTTGTTTTGTAGTCTCTTCTCACTAAAGATTTCTAGCTTGTATGTGCGGATTTACCCACTTATTGATTTTTATACTCATTTTTTGACAAAAGTTCATTTTTTTTTACAGGGTCATCTGTGTTTGGGCAGAAGCCTGCTTTTGGAGGTTTTGGTGCTGGTGCTCAAACAAGTCCATTTGGAAGCTCATTTCAACAATCACAGCCTTCATTTGGCAGTAATGTATTTGGTGCTTCTTCATCACCATTTGGTGCACAAAGCCAACCTGCATTTGGTGGTACTAGCTCCCCTGCCTTTGGATCAACTACAGCATCATTTGGCGCTACAAGTTCCCCCGCTTTTGGAGCTACCAGCACCCCTGCCTTTGGCTCAACACCTAGTCCAACTTTTGGAAGCACAGGAACTGCCTTTGGTGTGTCAAGTTCGCCTGCTTTTGGGTCAGGAGGAGCATTTGGGTCTTCCAGCACTCCTGTCTTTGGCGCTGGCGGCACCTCTGCATTTGGTGGCGCTACCACCCAAGCATTTGGTGCTGCTACAACTCCAACCTTTGGGGCTACTCCTAACTCTTCAGCCTTTGGTGCTGCTCCTTCTTCAGCTTTTGGGGCTAGTACTAGCACTCCAGCATTTGGCGCGGCAACTTCCAGTTCCCCATCTTTTAATTTTGGCTCCAGCCCTGCCTTTGGTCAAACTACATCTACTTTTGGAAGCTCCGGTTTCGGGTCTACACCATCTTCTTCTCCATTTGGTAAATTTTGATTGTTTTGGACTGATAATGTATTTTATACTAAACAGGTGTGGCTTTAACTGTATAATTATATGGCTTCAGCATTGATTATTAGACTTTTTTTGTATGTAGGAGCGTCAACTTCCACTACTTTTGGTGGTGGCTTTGGGCAGTCAAATTTGGGAGGAAGTAGAGTTGCTTCCTACACACCAACTTTAGAAGCTGATGCATCCGGTACCCAAGCTGGAAAGTTGGAATCAATATCTGCCATGCCAGTTTATAAAGACAAAAGCCATGAAGAGCTGAGATGGGAGGATTACCAGCGTGGTGATAAAGGTTTGTTTGTTGTTCCCTTCACCCTCTAAACTGCAACTAAACAACACATGTGGTTAATTAATGTACTCTTATTCTATTGTTCACATTGCTCGAAAATTTTATTATAAGACTATCATTTGAAACGATGCTGGAGCTTTTTCCAGAATCATTCAGTAACTGTCGATTTTGTTACTGTTCATTATTATATAAACTACTTCCTCCGTTTTTTTTAGATGATACCGTTTGACTTTTACACTATTCACAAATTACACTTTGACTAGGTTTTATGATTTATAGCTACGAAACATAGTTAAGTGGGATCTTGTTTGCATCGTCTCAATGTATATGTTATCAATATCTATTTTTTATAATTTTACAATGTCGAGAATTAGAGATATAAATGATTAAAAAAGTGCGTTGGCAAGCGTGATAATAGAATGGTGTCAACTAAATAAAAACGGAGGTAGTATTACAGAAGATACAAGGTTTAATTTTTTCTGTAGAACATTATTCATGCACAAACTTAATTCATTCTACGGAGATATAAACTGTTAATTTTCCAAGTCTTCCTTTTCTGTTATTACAACTTCTGGAGTAGGGCCAGTAGGCAGAAGTATAAATTGATATCAAGCACCATATTCAATAAAACTTAAGTGTAGCAGACAGGATTAGCTTGTTCAGGTGCTTTTTACTCTTGGGAATTAAGCTATTGAGATAATCAGATTTAAGCCTTTCATTGAAAGGAAAAAAGAATTTGATTGAGATAATCAGATGTATTGGAGTTGAAGAACGCCATATCAAAATTACGACTTTGTTGTCATTGATGTAAATAGGAGGAGGTAGAGTATTACTTTGAGGATGTTTTAGTTATTTTGTTCTGCAGCTATAGGGTTGCACTTTTATCCAACATGGGAAGCGGAGTCAGTTGATGAGAGGCCGTGCCCGCTAAATAAAAACATTAAACTACATTATCATATACCAAATTAACCAAGGGAGTGGCGAGTCGGAAGTAATTGACTAATTGTTTCATTCCACATAAATCAATTAATTGCTCTCCATTTTGACTTCTTTTTCTCTTTTGAAAAAAGGGTTTTACCGCAAGTGTTCTTATGAGAAATGGAATACGGCATTTCTTTGGTTTTGGTTGTGGAATTACAAGGATTGAGATCATCTGTTTATTTACTCCTATCCTCAAGTAATGGAACATCCACATATTGTATGAAGGTTAGGAGAGAGATTTGCGTGCAGGGGTGAGTGTAGCTCAATTTCTGATAAAAAGTAGGGAGGAAAAAGTGAAAAACATATTGAAATACAATGTTTATTTTTCTGTGGGAATACCAATATGGTAGATGTTAATGAGTGGTGTATTCATCAATTCTTTCAAAGACGATGAAATAAGTCCATGTGATTCTACTCAATTAAAACTTCCAAGTGAATAATTTGTTTTCTCATTTTGCATCTCAGGATTTATGTGGCTGATTATGCCCAAAATTTCATTTTTAAGGGTATCTTATTAGGGGTGTATACTCTGTTGGCTAAGTCTTATCTTGATATTTTTTCTTGTAAGAAGAAAGCTGTGTTATTGTTTGTATATCTCTTTCTATCTTTTTACAGTGCAATGTCTTTGACCTCTGCTAGGATTAAGTCCTTGGTTCATCTTTTTATTAGATAAAGCTTACTTGCAATTTTTTGGGCAAGGCTACTGCCTACATACTCCAAGAATGCTCTGTTGATGTTTGCTAAGTTGGTTGACTGTCATGATTTTGACTGAACTTAATACATTATAGTAATCTTTACGTTATTTCAACTGTTTGTATTAAAAATTTAATGTTCTATTTCCATCCATTGGTGTCTATTCCAGGTGGTCCTGCTCCTGCTGGTCAATCTACTCCAGGGATGAACTTTGGCATGTCTACTCCAGCGCCGACACAAACACCAACACAGTCAAGCCCCTTTTCAACCCCAGCGTTTGGACAGACGTCATCAAACCCTTTTTCAACATCTGTACAAGCAAATCCATTTGCTTCAAAACCTTCTGGTTTTGGAACTACTACCTCAACATTTGGTTCCTCACCTTTTGGCTCTAACACAACACCTGTTTTTGGGTCAACTCCAGCATCAACACCTTCCTTGTTTGGATCATCGACTCCAGGCTTTGGTTCAGGCACTTCCCCTTCTCTTTTTAGTGGAATGTCTTCCGCAATTGGATCTACATCTACATTTAATTCTGCACCTACTCAAGGTGCTCCTGCAGCATTTGGTTCCACTTTTGGGAATTCTCAGCCATCTTCCCTGTTTCAGCCATCTTCCTCACTTGGAACAGGAACTACTTTTGGGCAAACTAGTTCCTCCATTGGACAGAGTCCTAACTTCGGACAAAATATGTTTAATAGTTCATCATCTGCCTTTGGGTCAAATGTATTTTCAAGCACCACAAGCAACCAGTTTAATTTTTCTCAAAGCACTGTAAGTCCATGTTGAATTATTGTGTTTTTAAATTTCTATGTATGAAATTTTATATATTTTTACATAAAATTATCTGTTGCCATTTCTAGTCTGACATAAAATGTATGTGTTTATGCTGTAGAGTTTTATGTTTTACTCTTGCAAAAGGAATAGGACTATTTTCCTTTTTGCTTCTTAAGATATTCAACGCTGGTGCTTGAGTATTGGGCTTTTTTTTTTTTTTTTTTTCCTGTTGTCATTTTGATAATGTAAACTGAGAAGGAAAGCTATTTGAAAATATACATGTTATTAGCTAGAATTTAGGTTTGCGGGAAGATCCTAATTTCTTAACTATAGAGAGAGGATAACTGACAAAGGGACGAGGGACTAAACAGACTACCACCCCTTGTTAAAGATCTTATGGAATTCACCTCTAAGTTAGAGGACTCAAAACTCATAGTTGAAGAATATTGATTTCAAGCAATTGATTGTTAAAGCTGACAAATTCAGTCTGTGTATTCTATTGTTTAATGAAATTTCCATGAAGAAAATATTTGAGAGTAAATTTTGTGCTGCCTGAATGCTATTCTTATTTTCTATTTGGTTGTTTTGCAGCCCTCTCTTTCATCTCCCTTTCAATCCAGTCTTCCTACACAGACAACTAGTACTTTTAACTTGAGCACCTTTGGTCAGGCGCCAGCAGGTACTTTTGTCAATTTTGATCTCTACTTTTGTATATTAGGTTTCTATGCATATTTTCTTATTATGTATTCCATGTGTTAGGTGTGGGCAGTGGCTTTGGTGGATCTGGCATGTTTGCACAGAATCCTGGACAGCTGTATGTTTACTATGCTCTTCTTCTGTTGCCTTTTTCTTCTCAATTATGTTGCACCTGCTTTGTTTATTTGATTTTGGCCACAAGCTTTGGAGTCTTTGGCTTGTTTAACATGGAATAGATGCTTGTATGACTCATGCCTGATAAACATCTGTGCGAAAATGAATGTTCTCAAATGCATGTGGCATATTTTATTTTCCATCATATGGGGATGGGATGAGAGGAGGCAACAACTACCTATGCCCTTTTCCTTCTTAATAGGGAAGCAAAGTGTTTCAGGCTTACATCACCCTGAATAAGGTTGAAGGATATGCAGGAAGGTTTAGCTTTGATTGTCTGAAAGGTTAGAAAAAATACGTCTTTATGCCTCTGAGCTTCACCTTGGAGAGAATTCAATGTATATGAAAAGTAGGTTAATATAAATGTGGAAGGATAACTGTGCGTCTGTGCCTACATATGAGAAGCACAGAATACCTTAGCTTCTCCTGTTACTCTGTTAGACTGTTGCTTTTCTGCAATACATATATTATCTATTTATCTTGTGCGAAGCAATTAGGGTGTTTTGAATCTAAATGAAAGATAAAAAGTCAAAATCGTTAGCAACTCTAATTTTCAATAAATAGCACTTTTATGGTATAAGGAGGGATAATTCAACAATAATAGACTGAACTTAAGTTGCGATCCATGTTCTACGAAATTAGGCTAAAGTAAGATATTAACAAATATAACTTGATGTATGAATCATGTTAACAAAACAAATGTATTGTTGTCAGATGCAATTTTTTATTTTTATTTTCATGCTCTCCAGACTCCAGTGCTGTAATTTTAAATCCTACTTCTGTTTTTTTGTTGATATAGCTCATAGTTTTGTCCTTGTACTTATATTATCAATTTTGTTTATGTTAAATATTTCCCTTTTCATTAAAGTACATAATAGTATGGGTTTTTTTACTTGCTTCTGTGGTTGGTTATAAAGGATTTTGAATTCTCTGGTAGTCTGATTTTATTGTAACTTTTAAGAAAGACAGAAGAAAATATGATTTGCTTGTCATACCTTTTTTTTTTTTTAAGTATTTGGACATCTTGTTACTCATTTGTGCGCATAATTTTGAGCAATTTAGCACTTCAATTTGAAATACTTCCAGTGCATATATAGAATCGATTACTCACAAGTCACAACAGCAACCATATAAGTTGATTACTAATATACACTTTTCGCATGCATTCCACAGATCTTCAAACCAGATATCTGCAGTTGCCCAACCAGTTGCAGTCACAAATCCTTTTGGGACCCTTCCAGCTATGCCTCATATGTCAATTGGAAATACTGGAACCTCACCATCCATTCAATATGGGATCTCTAGCATGCCTGTAAATATGTCTATCCAGCTCATTTGTTTAAGATTATGCTGCAAATATTTAGAGACGTTTGTGTATTTGATGCTATTACCTTCTTTCCAGGTTGTTGATAAACCTACCCCTGTCAGAATATCATCCTTTTTAACGTCACGACATTTGTCTCAGAGGCGGATCAGGCTACCCGCAAGGAAATATCATCCTAAGAATGATGGTTCAAGGGTGTGTTTATGAGTGTATCTCATTGCTATTTCATGCACTTGTGCAAACTTTTTCCATAAACTAATAGTTGTTGCATGCAGGTTCCTTTCTTCAGTGATGATGATGAGGCGCCTAGCACTCCTAAGGCAGATGCTCTATTTGTTCCCAGGGAAAACCCAAGAGCATTGATCATTCGGCCGATTGATCAATGGCCAAAATCTTCAATGAAGGAAGCGTGTGTCTTGGTGCATGAAAATGGTATTGAATTTCTACATCTTGTAAGAGTTAGAATAAGTATTTTGGTACATTGATCTGGTGATTCCTCTTTAGACAGTTGTTCCTGCTGTCTTCACGTCACTGTTCTATTGACTTTGCTTTACAATGGAGGTTGTGGAAGTAGGATGTCCTTGGGAGATAATAAGAGATAATAATGAGAGAAGTTAGATTTTGGGAAAGAGTCAGAACTTAGATATTTGCGTATGTATATGCCTTTTTCTAAATATCGTCTTTCTAACTTCATTTCGCATTGTTTGTACCTTTTCGCTTTGATGTAATTTATAAATAGTGGAAAGAAAATGTGGGAATTGTTTCGAGTGGAGCAGTAAATTCTAGATGTGTTAAAGAGATGAATAATTAAAAAAAAAAAAAAAAACTGAAACATACCAGAATGGAAAGGGGTATATTTACTGGGAAGCCATATTTTATGTAATTTCTAGGCTATAACTTCCTTTATGATGACATCATATCTGCACAGTTTTAATGATTTGGTTAGAGTTTAATGTTTTAATTGCTCTGTCTAACTCTCCCCCTTCTTTTTTCAATACGTTGAAAGGTAATACACCAAATGAGAATGAGCATCTTGAGAATGGATCCCTTGCTGAAGGGAATGGTAGTAAGTGACTTCTTTCTTCCTGATTTGAACCATTAGGAGTTTACACTATGCTCGAGGTTTTGTTAATAAATTTGTTTTATTGTTCAGAAAAAGTATGATGATGCTTTGAATTTGTTGATTGCTCTTTATTTATGTTTATTATTATTATTTTTTATTTAACATTGTGTCATATCGTATATGAGTGTGTGTGCAAGGACGGATTGAGAGAGAGAGAGAGGGGGGGGGGGGGTGAGGCTATCTAGGCCATGTACTGCCCCATGATCCATATAATATGCTATATCATCTGTTGTATTGGTTTAAGTCCACTATAACCTATGGTAGTTTAGTGGTAAACTGGTAATGCAGGGGATAAGATAACTTTTGTCATCGTGATAGTGGCCACAATTTTGAAGCACTCACCCACATCAGTTTCTTTTTAAGGAGCAGTAACCTTCCCCTCAACCTCCTTTTTTGCCAGTTTTCTAGCTGTATATACTTCCTCTATTTTCTTTTACTTGCAACACACTTTTTGGAGGTGATTAGAGAAAGAAAACGAATAAATTTATCGATATAATTTTAACAACAAGAGTATGGAAGGGTTAGGTTCTATGTGTATAAATTGTTTTGATTGATTTGTTTGCTTACTATATAAGACGGTGTAAAAAGTAAAAGAGAATGGAGGAAGTATTTTTTTTTAGTCTTCCTTGGACCTTTTGCCTCTCATGAAAAATGTTCTCAAATAATAAATACCTGGAAATTTTGTCTAGAACTACCCGCAAGATAGGGTCATTTGTGAACAACTACCCATTTTTTTTTATCTGTTTACAACTACCCGCAAGTTTGAAAACGTTTGGGTAGCACTACCCATTAACGTTTTCCGTCCATTTTCAACGTTACTGGGGCCCACATTGTACACGTGTCAATTATTTATTGGATAAAAAAAAGAAAAATCAGAAAACCCAACCCCACCCTCCTTCCCTTACCATCCCATCCCCACTGCCCACCGGCCACTGGAACCAGCAACCCCATTCCCCTCTCCACCGGAAAACCCACACCGTTCCTCCCGCCGGCCAGCTGCCCTGCACCGCAGCAACACACTGCCGCAATTACTAATTCGCCACCCACAATCACAGCCAACAACACCCGCACACACAGCCCACAACACCAAACAACCACCATCACCACCAGCCTAAACCGTCAGCTGCAGCACCCATCTCCACCTCATCACCAATTCGCCACCCGTAATCACCAATTTGCCACCCACAATCACTAAACAGCCACCATCACCACCAACCTAAACATCGCTTCAATCACCATCACCACCATCAGCCCCGATTTGGTTTCTGGGTACGGGTTTGGGTCCAGGTGAGGGCGAGGGTGAGAGCAGTAGGGTGGTTTGTGGGTTCGGGTATGGGTGTAGGTTGGGGTTTCAGTGGTTCGGCGATGGTTTTGGGTAGGGCAGAGGAATTCGGCGACGGTGGTGGGGGTGTGGGTTGGGGTTTCAGCGGTTCGGTACGGTGGTGATGCATTCTTTAGGTTGCTGTTTCGGCTGGTTTAGGTTGGGGTTAGGCTGGGTTCGGAGATGGTGTGTGCTGGGTATGAGTGGTTGGGGTTCGACGCTTTCTGCGGTCAGGGGCTGGGTATGGGTGACGGCGGTGGTGGCTGAGTAGCATTTTAGTTTTTTTTTTTTTTTTTTTTGGGTGGGCCCTAGTAACGTTGAAAATGGACGGAAAACGTTAATGGGTAGTGCTACCCAAACGTTTTTAAACTTGCGGGTAGTTGTAAACAAATAAAAAAAAAAAGGGTAGTTGTTCACAAATGACCCTATCTTGCGGGTAGTTCTAGACAAAATTTCCTAAATACCACTTCTTTTTTTTTCTTTTTTTCTTTTTTTTTTTTTGTAAAACTTGAATCCAAATAAAAGTTATAAACAGTTGTACTCGTAAATAAGCTCTATTAGAAACATGATCTTAAGCAATCCTCTCATTTGATTCATACCATATCACCATCACTACAGTTTGAAGAGCTGAGAGCCGTGGTCTCGCCTTTCGATTCATACTAGGTGATTGCTCCTCTTTGCCACCATTCTGACCACATATAATCTCCCATTAAGTCGCAACTCTTTCCAATAATTTTAGCTACACCCATTTGAAATTTAAAGGGACCTACTGTAAATGAAGGGGGGGAGGGGGGGGGGGTGGCGGGGAAGGTAAACAAGGACAGAAAGGGTGGATAGGTTGTAAGGGATACTGTCTATAATATGGTTTTGAACTCTGACAAGTATGTGACATTATGTCTTGTTGACTTGCAAGTTGGGCTTTCTTTTAAAATTCAGCTTAATTTAGGGTTCAAATTGAAGCTATTTTATGCAATTAAGTGCAGGGCTGTGGGCATTTTTCTCTTACATGATCTTAATGGCTGTTAAGTTTTAATTAAATTGACCTTTTAGGTATATAAGTTAGACCACTCTATCACTGCGCCTTGTGCCTTGCATGAGATGGTTGACGGCACAACTCTCTTAGCGTCTTATGAATGTATGTCCAGGGATGGCTGGATGCTGGATTAGTCCTGGGCTGCGCCTCGTGTGTTAAAACTAAGATCATCTCTGCGGTGTTTGTCTTGTGTGTTTTTATTATTTCAATTCTCATAAATCTGAATGTTTTCAGGCATGCCCAATGGAAATGGATTGATTAAGGAACGAAGTCATCCTGTTAGAATCAGCCAGAAACCCGGTGCTACCTCTGATGATGCTTCAAACCATAAAGGAGATTCTTATATTACACTTTCAGGTCACAGAGCTGGTGAGGCGGCTATAGTATATGAGCATGGGGCTGATATTGAGGCAATGATGCCTAAACTTCGGCACTCCGATTATTACACAGAGCCCCGTATTCAAGAGCTGGCTGCTAAAGAAAGGGCTGAACCAGGGTTCTGCAGACATGTCAAGGATTTTGTTGTGGGACGACATGGTTATGGAAGCATTAGATTCCTGGGGGAAACTGATGTAAGGCGGCTTGATCTCGAGACGCTTATCCAATTCAACAATCGAGAGGTAATCGTCTATATGGATGATAGCAAGAAACCCCCAGTAGGTCAAGGTCTTAACAAGTCTGCTGAGGTTACCCTTCTTAACATCAAGTGCTTTGACAAGAAGACTGGTAATCAAATCTTAGAAGGACCGAGGATTGAGAAATACAAGGAAATGCTGAAGAAGAAAGCAGAGGATCAAGGTGCTGAATTTTTGTCCTACGACCCTATTAAAGGAGAGTGGAAATTTAGGGTCAGCCACTTCAGCAAATATGTGCTTTATGACGATGACCAATGGGATATTGCTTGACAGTCACTGTTTTTCCTTTAAATTAGCAGCAGATGTTATATGTACCTGGTTGCTGCAAGTTTTCTGCTGGCAGGTCCTTTGTTGCGATCTTTCATTTGGTTTGTTTTTTATGGGTTTTGTATATGCACCAATTATTTTTGGTTCTACTGCCATCTTATGGTGGAAAATTGTATTGTAATTTTAATTTTCAATTTTGGTGATGGAAGTATGGAACGTTTGGAACTAGTTAAAATTTAGAAAATTAGTTCTTCCCGGCCTCCTGGGGTTCTGTTCTCTTGGCCAACGGCCAACGCTATGTCTATAATTTCTCATATAATTGGTTTAAATCTGAAGGAAAAGTCTTATTAGGTATACACTTAAGTTAATCTGTATTAGTACTTGCTCTGTTTCATCAGTTTATACAATTCTTAAGGCACATTTGTTAATGGATTTCAAACAGCAATATCTGCAATCAACAGTTGGTAAAAAAAAACATAATAAATTGCTATTCAAATTTTGAAAAATATAATAAATTGACTAACTGCTTTTCGAGTTACAAGGATAATTTCACCCAAATCATGGCAATAAAATAAGCACTACCCTTATGTATAACTCCTCTAGCTTATAAGATATGGAGTACAATAGATAATACGGGTATCACAATAGCACTTATTTTCTCCTATGTAAAACAACTCACATGTGCGCAATAAGAGGTTCAACTGTATACATCTCCAACTCCATTTATTTGCTCCTGTTGATAACATTTCCTGAAAATTCAAGCCCCAAATAAAGATTAACAAAAACCCAATTCAATTATAACCCAAAATTTCTCAAAAACACAATCCAATAACAAATCCCCAAGATACTTTTTTATTATAATTCCAACTGAAAAATTGAAAGAAACCTCAAGATTTGAGCTTGGAACAAGCAGAAATCCCAGATTGAGAGTAAGAATCTTCCCAATTAACACCATCAAAGCTCCGAATTTCAACATGGGTTAAAGTCCCAGGATCTAGGCAAGCTAGAGTAACCCCAATACCATCTGGGTTCGATCGAGGAGTGTAGAAAGAGGTGATTCCACAAACATTACAGAAAGTATGCTTAGCAATGTGGGTCCCAAAAGTATAGGTAGTAATGTTTGATTCTCCAGAAATTAATTTGAAATGGTTAATTGGGACAACGAAATGGGTGTTACCCCTCATTGAACAGGTTGAACAATTGCATTTCCAAGCGATTAAAGAGGTGGGTGCTTCTACTTTCCATCTTACTCTCTTGCAATGGCATCCTCCATTGTGGGTTACTAAGGTTGGTTCTGGGTTTGAGTTCATTTGAGCAGAGGAGAAAGAAAGAAAGGGAAATCAATGAATGATCAATGAATTTGGGAAAAAAATTTGGTCGATGTATTTATATTGGATGGTCTAATGATTTAGGGTGTCTTATTAGTGGGTTGTTGCACGAGCTTACATAAGGTAGGCTTTGTCAAAAAGGTGGGAAGAAATTTAATAATGGAGTGAAACAAATAGAGATAAATTTAACCGTTAATTTCTTTAATTATCAATAAGTTGACATGTTTGTTTTGTAAATGAGAGGGATTAGGATAATGCTTTCGCTAATATTTCTTTGTGGGCAATTTTTTACTTTCAAGTTTGCTAAAGTATAACATCAATTTTACATTGTAATTATAAAAAGTTAAGACGAATTTAATCAAAATTCGTACAATTAAACTTTTCGTTCCATACATAGAAATTACAAAAGACGATTAATGTGACATCATAAATGACATCAACAGTAAAATTGTATTGATTAAAAAAAATAGAGGAAGCATAATACAATGTTTACACCCTTGATAAGTAAGACACCTAATTTGACTAAACCTATCAAAGATAATATCAAAGTATATGGAGACATTTGCAAACTACAAACCAATAACAATTAAACAAGCACAAGCCAACAAGAATGATGAAAGATTTCATTGTCTAATACTTGTATTTTTTTTTTTTTTTTTTTTTTTTTTTGTTTCCAGAGGAAACAGTCATTTATGAGGAAAGATTACACAATTAAACTACACTGTTCGAATTATGTCATTATGTTAGACATCCATTTGATTGATTTTATTTTCTCATTAAAAAAAAAAAAACAAACATAGAAGAGAAAAAACAGTGACTAATTGGAGCTATTCCCAGTTTGCAAGTGATGAGAATGCTCCCAATTACAGCCATCGAAACTCTTAATTTCAACATGTTTGAGAGTCCCTGGATCAACACAAGCAAAGTTAACCGAAACAGCATCAGGGTTCGACCTAGAGATGTTGAAGGAGGTGATGCCACAGATGTTACAAAATGTATGCTTAGCAGTGCAAGTACCAAAAGTGTAGGTAGTAATGTTTGATTCACCTGAAATTAGTTTAAAGTCGTGAGAAGGAACACTGAAAGAGATATTACCCCTCTTTGAGCACATTGAACAATTGCATTTCCAAGCAGTCACACTTTGAGGTGATTTGAATATGTATCTTATTCGTCCACAATGACATCCTCCTTGGTGAGATTTAACTAATTGCGAATTCGAGTTCATGAGATGAGTTAGAAAGATCAGATGATAGCAGGTTAATGTTATACAAGGGTATGGCCAAGGTTGATATGCATAGCTCAACACTTGGAGCTTACATAGATACATACATGCCATATGGGAGATCTCAGGGAAAACATATAAATAACATTTGCATGGCTGTTGTCAAACAAAGCTTATTTAAGCACGTGTTTTTGAACTCAAATTTTCGTCTCAACCCTATGTCGGGATCCAAAATGGTAATGGGTGGTAAAGAATAAGTCAATTTACTATGAACATTTACATATAAATTACATAGTACTCCGTACATGTGATTTCCATGCTGAATCACACATAAATTCACAAGTACAACTGTTGTTTATTACGAGTACAGCTTACTGGATGAGCATTATGTTACCTGATTAGTGATTACAAGAAAGAAAGGAAAAAAAACACTTAAAAAAAAAAAAAAAGAAAGAAAAGAAAAAACACTACATACAATATAAACCTTTGAAATTTTAAATTTCACCCTAAATCTCACAATATGTAGCATATTGCTAGCCTATCTTTGAGAAAGTGATAGAAGATTAGAAGTTATCTTTGAGGAAGAAAGTGACAGAAGGCATCTTTGGGAATGTGACAAAAGTAAATCCTGAATCAGCAATAAATGAATATGAGGCAGCCAAAGAAGCAAGTTAAATAAGAAATTATACATATAATCGCATCCCATATGGTGTAGTATAGTGATATAGGACTGAGATATTCGACAAAACTTTGGATCAGTGGAGAATCTAACCAACCACCTGACTACTAATTTCAAATTAGCTACTAAGCTTCAGTAAGACAGTAACTATTGCAGCTTAGCTCTCTTGATTATCAGTCCGCAGATTCAACATTTGGGCAAGAACAAGCTTTGAGAGCTCATTGATCATGTTTTGGACTGGTACTCCCTCTCCATCCTCTTGTGTTGACCAGGAAGACGATTGCGACATTAGCCTCGAGTATTCATGTGCAGCCACATTGGTCTTTTTTGACGTAGTAAGGACTTTCTCTAAATCAGCTTGTGTCAGCAGCCTTGGAGCCTGAAAAAGTATAGAACACCGGTCAACCAACACACAAAACTTCCTAGCAGCAAGTAAACAATCAAGTAAATGCCATTTTCTGCAACTACTTCCTCTCATCATAAATTACGAGTATCAAATCTTGATGACCGAATCAAGGGTGAAAAGCAAATTCATTCAAACATGAAGGAAAATCATTTCCTTGAGCAATTGCGGGATATTTTACACTTCCAATATTTTTTGCCAGCATTATAAATCAACAACCAAGAACCAACCAACTAGTCCGAGGGAGGATATGAAACTAAATATACATTATGAGACCTACTCTGTCCCTAGATAATAGGCCACATTTGATTAGTGGCTACTTTTTCGGAATTATATTACACATAACCTAACTCTCCATATACCTGTTATTCAGTTAAGAGCCTCATATCTCCACCATATCAATGTAGTCCTTATTTGCAGTAATCCTAAATTAAAACATCATTAAGAGTGATATAGGGGAACTCTTAATCTATCTCATATTATTTTCATGACCTATAATATGATATTTAGTGACAGAGACAAATATACTTTGTTTATTCTGTCAAAAACTCAAAAGCCATGCCCTACCCCACTGTGGTTAAAAAGCTCCAATTATAAACATCATTCATATCATATGTTTTCATATCTCCTAGACTGATAATTTAATTAAACCTGTCCAGTATAGAAAGGAAAGGAACGATACGACAATAAAGGGCGACATAAAAGGCTGCTTACATGATGTGGTTTCCCACTCTTCTCATCATCTAAAAGCTCCCTGATTGGAAGATATGCAGCCTTTTTACAAAGCTCAAACAGATCAGAACCAGTACTTCCGTCACATAAGCTGGCTAGATAATCAAAGTCAATGTTTTCCTCTACCCTCTCATCCTTCAGGATTACTCTCAATATCTCTGCCCTCTCCTTGCGAACAGGCATTCCAATCTCAAAGGCCTGAGAAAATCGACGAAGAATAGCCTCATCAAGTTCAGATGGACGATTTGTAGCAGCAAGAACCATCACTCTGGCATTCTCTATACAAACAAGACAAACTTATCATAAGCTAAGTGGACAGCTTAGGGTGAATTCAATATCTAACGAACTGAAGAATTAAGGTCCTCAGTAAAGAAGCAAAAACAATAAAACATAATTTAATGTATAAAAATTAATCATAACAGAATCAGATGCAATAAACTTACGATCAGTTGTGAAGCCATCCCACAAAGCCATAAACTCTGTTTTCATGTTTGTCAATGCTTCATGATCGGAGTTTCTACGCTGTCCCAAGAAGCTATCAACCTCATCGATGAATATGATTGCAGGCTGTAGTTTGTATGCCAGGCTAAACACAGCAGCAACTGCAAAAAAAAAAAAAAAAAAAAAAATAAATAAATAAATAAAAAAAAAGATATTATGCAACTATTAGAAAAGTCAATAAAATAGCCTGCCAAAGCACTTACTGTAGCAGACAAAATCTAGTCTTTCCCTCTACATTACTCTTATCTAAAATATCACGGACTTAATTCTTATGTGAAGCACATGGTATAGTAAGATTGTCATAATTCACCAAAATTAATGAACACATTCAAAGTTTCTCTCTCTTTCTCTTCCTCTCTCTCTCTCTCTCTCTCTTTTTTTTTTTTTTTTTTTTTTTTTTTTTTTTTTTTTTTTTTGGGTATTACTTAAATCCAAATCTCATGTTTTCTAAAACTACAAAAAGCATGATACGGACTTAATTCTTCTATG